CCGTGGCCGGGATCGAACTCGAGCTGGCGGGTTCGTAGCGCAGTGCAGGGACCACCGTGCCACTGCTCGTCGGTAAACCCTTGTCGCCAGATGACAACGCAGGAAACACGTGGACTCCCACCTGTCCCGTCTGTGTGGGATAGAGTGTGACCCCCTCGCACGAGTGGGTGTTCTCTGGGTGCTCTGGTTTCCTCTCACGTGTGAGCACTCATTCAGTGGCTGACAGCGTCTTACTATAGAGGGAACTGCAGAGCGGCAGTTAAAACGAATGTGCGAGTTTATTAAATGACGCCACAGTCGGTGGTGTGATATGGGGTAAACTACGGATACCCCCATCCCTTACAAGCATTGAAGTGTAGCTCGAATATACCCCTCGAGGGGCTATCTATAGCTCCCTCTAGTGAAGACCCTTCCACCAGCAGTTGAGTGAGCGAGCACTTGCAGCGCTGCACCTTTACCTCTTAGCTGTTGGACACGAATGGCAGTGAAATTCTCTACCTTCAAAAACACATACTCTTTGGTTCTTTCGGTAAAGTCACGTAGGTAATAAAATAAAATAAATCACGACGTTTCGGGCGCAACACAAGCGTCCGTCATCAGGTGGGAAAGCATGGCCTGCTGCATCAGCAGCTGCATCAGCAGCAGGCCATGCTTTCCCACCTGATGACGGACGCTTGTGTTGCGCCCGAAACGTCGTGATTTATTTTATTTTATTACCTACGTGACTTTACCGAAAGAACCAAAGAGTATGGATTCCTGCAGTCACGAAAGCTTCAAATCAAGATTACTTCAAAAACACATCGCCACTTTTTATTTTCTAGTTGGTTTGGCAAGAATGCTGCCAACTGCATCACCCCCGCACCGAGACGCGTGCCCCCCCTGCACGTGCGTCTCGCGGCTCGCAGCCCTCGCGAGGCGGCGGCGCCACGTGGAGGCGACGCGCCACGTGCGGGCGGGTGGGCGAGTGGAGGTCGACTGCAGGCGGAGGGCGAAGCCGCCTTGTCCGGTGGGGGGGGGACACGAGCGGAGATCGTGCACGGGGAAATGTGAGCAGAGGGGTTCAGTGCAGTTGCAAGGGAAATGACGTAACGAAAGTGACGGTACGTACATACACACATATATACACGCACGCATTTGTATGTATGTAGACACATTGTACATGCATACACACATATACATCTGTGTGTAGATACGTCCATGCATATGTATGTACGCATGCAGCTACATGCACACGTATATATAGTACACATATACATCTGTATAGATATCCATCTGTATAGATGCATCTGTATAGATACATGCACACATGCATCAATAACAGGACCCTGCGGGGTGGGCTGGTAGGAACGAATAACCAAAAAATATAAACATAATGTATTATTACACTTGTTTAGCCAGGAAAGCCCCAGTGAGTCTAAAGGTTTTTGTAGGGTCCTGCCAAGTGTTTGCAGTAGGGGGCGATGTTGCTACACCTAATCGGACGATACGAAGGGAGACTTTGAGGCCTAGTTCTAGGCTTTAGACCTAGCTCTAGGCTTTAGGTCGCTGTGAGTTAATTTTTAATTTAAATGTTTTAATTATTAATGTAAAAGCTTGAAATTTAAATGTTTCTATTTAAAAACATGAGGGAATGTAACATTGTGAAACATTAACTCCCTTTCCCACACGCGGGGGTACGATACGAAGGGAGAGTTTGTGGCCTAGTTCTAGGCTTTAGGCCTAGCTGTAGGCTTTAGGTCGCTGTGAGTTAATTTTTAATTTAAATGTTTTAATTATTAATGTATAATTTAAATGTTTAATTATTAATGTAAAAGCTTTAAATGTAAATGTTTCTATTTTAAAACATCAGGGAATGTAACATTGTTAAACATTAACTCCCTTTCACACACGCGGGGGTACGATACGAAGGGAGACTGTGAGGCCTAGTTCTAGGCTTTAGGCCTAGCTGTAGGCTTTAGGGCGCTGTGAGTTTTTTTTATTTAATTTCAAAGTTTTAATTAAAAGCTATCTCAGGGAATTATAAGGGAATGTTACACGTGTTTAGCCAGGAAAGCCTCATTAATTTAAATGTTTTAATTAAAAGCTATCTGAGGGAATTATAAGGGAATGTTACACTTGTTTAGCCAGGAAAGCCTCACAGAGTCTAAAGGATTTTGTAGGGTCATGCCAAATGTTTTGAGTAGGGGGCGATGTTGCTACACATAATCGGACATCGGACGGACGAAATAATCTATTGTAGGCTGGTCCACTTCGTTCCTACCAGTATAAATGCAGCTACATGCAGCTGTGCTCCTTATACCAACAATAGGCTGCAATGCAAATTTATACAAAACGACTACAACATAAGAACGTTAATGAGTCCATCACGAGTCCGGATAATCACGAATACATTCGTTGTTTGTACATCGCATCCTAGCTCGCCGTACCGCGACACCGTGACACACTCCTTGACCATCCTCGTGCCACTTGCTCGTCCTGTCAACCACAGCGAATGTCACTCCGCACAGCATCCTCCACATCATGGGAACTTCGAGTGTAGTCATTAATATTGTTATTAGCAGGTTTTTATTTGGCTTGGATGTTATCAATACTTGTGCGTGCAGATTCATTTTACGTACAGCGCGTTGAGAACACTTCAATATGAAAGGCGCTGTATAAAAGCAAGGTTATTATCATAACAATTATCTCGCAAATCGACCTCTGTGTTACCCCACGCTGCGTCACAGGCGACAGTCGCCTCGCTGGAGCCAAGTATTAACATATGCTGTATTTGTGCTGTGTTTTTCCATCAGTTTTACCTCGTTCAATTCAATAAATTACGTTTGGAGTTGGATGTTCACCCTGGCTCTGAGGGTTTATTGGATGCGAGGTTAACTACTCGGATAGCGGTGCAATGCAGCGCACAGCGAGGCCGAGACAATCAGAGCCTAAATGGAGCATAATTTCCTCCAGTTGAATGGGGATAAAATGTAGGTTATGCTCATCAGGTGTCGCCACTGTATGGTAAAGGCTGGTCCATTCAGTCTGATGAGGCTGCACAAGAAATCATGAATCTCGGTGTGAGCGTCGATACATTATTAACTTTTGGGACACTCTTTTTCATTTATGCAATATTGCCCGGCTACGTCCCTTCCTCTCAGCTGCCGAGGGGGAGAAATGGTTTATGCTTTTATTCTCTAACGCATCTATTGCAATGACTCGCTTTCTGCAACCTCTAGTAAGGTAGTGTCGACTCCAATCCATTCAGAATGCAGCTGCTAGGATTTCGACTCGAACTCCTCGTTCAGAACATCCCAGCCCTGTATAACTTCACTGGTCGCTGGTTATATTCCATATTGATTTCAATGTCCTCACATTCAGGGCTCTGAATTATTTCACACCTCCGTATATTTGGGAGTTGCTGGTCTCCTACGTTCCAACAATAACCCTTAGATCTCCCCTGCACCCCCAGAACTAAGCTCAAGTCCATGGGTAATTGGGCCTTGGCTTCTGGGCACCTGGACTGGAACTCGTCTTGCCCGAAAACATCTCTTTCAGAAAAAATGTTCTATTTTAACTTCACCACTTCTGACTCAAGCCCCCCACAATGAAAGCTGTAATTATACTGGTAGGAACGAAGTGGACCAGCCACCAATAGATTATTTCGTCCGTCCGTCCGTCCGACCGTCCGTCCGTCCATGTAGCAACATCGCCCCCTACTGCAAACACTTGGCATGACCCTACAAAATCCTTTAGACTCTGTGAGGCTTTCCTGGCTAAACAAGTGTAACATTCCCTTATAATTCCCTCAGATAGCTTTTAATTAAAACATTTAAATTAATGAGGCTTTCCTGGCTAAACACGTGTAACATTCCCTTATAATTCCCTGAGATAGCTTTTAATTAAAACTTTGAAATTAAATAAAAAAAACTCACAGCGCCCTAAAGCCTACAGCTAGGCCTAAAGCCTAGAACTAGGCCTGAAACTCTTCCTTCGTATCGTACCCCCGCGTGTGTGAAAGGGAGTTAATGTTTAACAATGTTACATTCCCTCATGTTTTTAAATAGAAACATTTAAATTTAAAGCTTTTACATTAATAATTAAAACATTTCAATTAAAAATTAACTCACGGCGGCGTAAAGCCTACAGCTAGGCCTAAAGCCTAGAACTAGGCCTGAAACTCTCACTTCGTATCGTACCCCCGCGTGTGTGAAAGGGAGTTAATGTTTAACAATGTTACATTCCCTCATGTTTTAAAATAGAAACATTTCAATTTAAAGCTTTTACATGAATCATTAAAACATTTAAATTTAAAATTAACTCACAGCGCCCTAAAGCCTACAGCTAGGCCTAAAGCCTAGAACTAGGCCTCAATCTTTCCCTTCGTATCGTCCGATTAGGTGTAGCAACATCGCCCCCTACTGCAAACACTTGGCAGGACCCTACAAAAACCTTTTGACTCAGTGGGGCTTTCCTGGCTAAACAAGTGTAATAATACATTATGTTTATATTCTTTGGTTATTCGTTCCTACCAGCCCACCCTGCAGGGTCCTGTTTATTAAGTTGTAATTATCTCAATACAGTGTCATGACCAGAGACACAGGCAACTAATTGGACAGTGACCAATTCAGGTACAGTTGAGATGAAATGTCGAGAAAACCAAGTTTTTACTGGACTCCATCTCGTGTTCATAGGAGGTTGTTTGGGTTTACTCTAATTAGCACGGTTGGCTACGTACAGTTCAAAAGAAGTTCAACATACATACAAAGTGAATGATTGTATATATGGTGGTTATGCAGGCATTTTCAAGGGTGGTGCTCTGTAGTAGTAGTAGATGAAGGATTTGTAAAAATCATAGCTTTAGAGCATTGGATGAAAGGGTCTTTAATCGTAGTTGTACGGTGAAATCTGACTTTGGGGTTGCAGGAAACAATTCATATACAATCAAACAAAATTTTTACAAGAATTTATTTCAGGTATTGGTAAATGAACACCATTACATCGTAAATATATTCCCCATAGTATTCACCCACATACATAAGTAGTAATAATTGTGCAGAGGTCGTGATTTGAGAACTGTGTCACTGATTGAGCCGATTGTACCGGTCTTGAGCTCTATACAACACTTGCTAAAAATATGAATCACCTGGTGAAAATATGAACTTTGACACTTGACATTATAGAAGAGCCCTAGACAATGCACGCTATATGCACTATGCCTCTTGGTATTTATTGCTCTACACATTTTGTTGAAGAACCTATCTTTTATGAAACAGTGGAGCATCTGTTATTGACTAAAATTAAATCTTGTCCAAATATCGTAGAACTAATGTAAACAACGCCTACTGTTAGTGGCCCCAGTGAGTGGAGCTGAGTGTGTCCGCTCATCTCGGGTGCGATGCCACGACTGTGCGACCCTGCAGAGCCTTTCTAGGCTGCTCACAATGCGTTGCGTCTCAAGAGGATATCGGTTAAAGAGAGAATGGTGCTTTGAGTAGCATTAAAATATAGTACGTGAACATGTTTTACATTTAATTTCAGAAATTACATTGAATATATTGCCACATTAGGTGATTCCTATCACATTCTTAGTCTTACATTCTACAATATAGTGCTATACGTATACATGTTTTTCAATCACAAGCATATATAACCGAGTGTAGAGTATAAGTGAGCTCTCCATCGGGCATGGTGTCCTTCACAGCATCTAACATAACCTGTCCATTGATTTTTGAAGGAATAATCAAGTTTAGGTCAGGAATGTAGCCACCCGTTTCATTAATATGCCTGACCCCAAACGTGAAAAGAATGCCTATGTCACACTATAACTTGCAACCCATCTGTGATGAAGTTGTGATAACTTTTAACCACTATTCTTGTTGCCCAACCTCTGAATGGTCAGCATAGTGAAATTATTAATGTATTGAGACAGACATTGAGACGGGAATGCAAGTGACTGATGCTGGAAGCAGTGTGCACATTAATGTGATTGGCCCTGCTATTGCACACACGGGGAAAGTTAACCATGGCCATTTCCTTGTGTTCATGTCTCCCAAAACACATTACCAGGAACGTCATATGCATATAGTTTGGTTCATCTGTTACTTAAAATATGCGAAGATTAATATAGTTAAAATGTACCTTAATTTTTAAGAAAAAAAATCTAACAAACCCATTAAGTAAAATATGTTTTCTTTAACAATATATTCCCATACAGTTTTTCGTCAGAAGGTTGCATGCTCGGCTAGACTTGCTAGTGAATACATCATCTTTCTGCATAGATCAATAGGCCTTCCCGTGTTAAAAGGTCATACATTCAAAGGCCATCACTATACCTTGGGGACACAGGTGTTTTGTTTAGACAGCCACTCAAACACGATACAAACTGCATCCAAAAACATTTTCCGAATGGGAATTAACATCAGCGCTAAGAGGCGATGATGGCCAGTTGACCTGCCGGCGTCGATAGAATGAGCGCCACTTTGTGGCAGCGGTCTGGAGAACCAGGCCTGTCTGATGAATCTAGAGTTCTTACGACTGTGCACTACGGAGTAAGCTCACTGTACAAACACAAGTGAAAATAAGTCCCTTGGGTCTATGTTGGTACACATTCCTTTGTAGAAACTGTAAATCCGTTTGAACTTTGGATGCAATTTTTAAGTGCAGTGCGTCAACATGGAACATATCGGTGAGAAACTGAACGAGAATTAAAAAAGGGGTTGTAATGCATCCCTCTTAAATATTTACTTTATTCAATTAATTCTCAAATGCATATTTTATTTTTGTGTATGTAAATATTCCAATGCCGTATTTTCAGATTGCAAACTAAATGAGTTAAGATCACTATTTTCTGAAGAGTGGTCTTTTGTAAATCTTGCTTGGACAGCTACAGTAATCTCTAACAGATTGGTACTCGTATCTATTTTAAGTCCCACTCAGTGAGGCTTTTAACCCAGTTCCAGTGCTATGATCCAAGCTAAATGCACTGCTGCAGAATAGAGATGAGAGAATTTGGCTATGAATTCAGTTTCTCTTCTATAAAAAATAGCCACCGCCCCGACATCTGGTCTCCCGAAGGCGGCAAACCCCAGACAAGCTTCGCCGAGCGTAACATGGCTGTTGATGCCGATGAAGTCATCAAGCCTCTGCCAATCACGTCCCGTCCAGCAGTATACGTGAGAACAGAGGTGAGACTTTTTAAAACTAGTTTCGTGTTATACAATTAGACGAGTAATCGAATCGACAATCAGTGCAGTAATTGATTTCTTGATGTCGGTAGAGTAATTTGATTATTCAAGTAATGGGAGATTCGTAGCTGGACTGGTGCAGCTGGGCAAGATAGAAATATCTCAGAGCAGTCCACGTGGGATAATTAGACGGGAAGGATCCTACTTTATTTGGACACTAAATGAATGCGTGCTCTCTAAATACAATGCAATCATGGCAATACAGTAGACTCGATTATCCGCATGCGGTTTCTAGATTTGGATTGTGCACCTGTGATTTTGACATTAATAACTCATGGATGTTCCCTTAAGCCAAAATTAATCACCAAAGAACAAATTGTTCTTTGTTATTCTTGGAAATGTGCTTAAACCGAACAAATATGTGTTCGGGTTAATCAGAAATCCAAGCGATCGCCTTTACAGTACAATATTTTCATATCTTTACAACAGTAGCCAGAGTTTTATTGATGGCAGGAAAGTGTTATCACGCGCATTGATCGGTCGACCCTTACTATTCGTTCTAAATTGAAACAGTAACAATCAAAATCTTCAGTTGTGCTTAATTTTTACTGATTTATCCGATCATTTATTTAGTGAGTTTTCATTTACTAAACTGTGCGATGGCAGATAAATGGAAGCGTTGTTTTTCTTTAAATCAGAAACTGGCTACTAAACGTAAGTTGGAAGACAGCAGTTCCATAAAACATCCTAACTTCAAATTTTATACCTATATTCGTGAGTTTTGGCATAAGTATCCGCGTAAAATTGATACTTATCCGCAATTTTGATCTATCCGCGGCCGTCCTCATTAGCGGGGATAATCGAGAATCGACTGTATAAACAATTTAACTACATCTTCAAATTTGTTGTGATTTAACTACATTTTTACAATTATCAAAGCACAGTAAAATGTATGCTATTATGTCAAATCTCTTTAGATGTCATTGCAATCTTTCAACATCAACACAATCAAGGGTTTACCAATAGTTACAGTACTTAATTATTCCATGTTATTGAATAGAGCAGTTGCTGTCAGACTTCTTTGCCTTCTCTTGAGCTGAAAGAGATAAATGCAAAAACAATTACTCATACATGGCAAGAGAGGCTGTTATGCTGAAATGATGCATATATACAGTCTCTGCTGGTGCTCTTGTAGACATCAATGACCAGTCATCAAGGCCTTCCCATCTTCTGACATTACGAGAAGGCCGACTTATTTCAGCATCATTATTGGGGCAGTGCAAACCGATATCGTGTACAAATGTCCACATTCCTATGGCAAGGGCCAGAATATTCACAGAAAACCCACAGTTTAGTAGTTTGATTAGTAAACCTATAACAAAACATTGTTTGATTAATTTGATCATGACAACTAATTGTATAGGCTGTCTTAGTAGCAAGTCAGCATGTGGGCCAGAAATCAGATTCACGAAACGCATCGCCTTATCAATTAAACTCTGTTGCTCTGCTAACACATGCACCAAATCATGCGTGTGAGATCCGATATAATTTGTTCAAATTATATATTTAAAAAACGATATTATACCCAGCAGCATAACTGGGTTCACCACTGCAGTTAGTCGATTGGCAGGCTGAGTGAGGTGGGGTAAAGTGTGGGTAAGTCTACCTCTTCAAACAAGTCCGGTCAATTGAGATTCCACCAGCAGTGGCTTGAGCAAGCAATTGCAGCACCACATACTTAGCTTTAATACAATTTTCATATTCTTAGAATAATGTATAAGATACAGAAATAACTTTTACATCAATATAATAATATACATGTTTATATACCGTTTAATAAACAATCGTCATTCTTGCCTGAAACCATATTAAAATAAAAAAACATTGAACGACTCTCCTAAAAAAAGTCCGTCTGGCTATCCTAGCTAAATACATTTCTCTAATTTACATATTGTTAATATAATTTGATGTAAAAATGTATTCATTATTAATTGCATAAGTACATAATCTCGTTAATGCAGTATTATGAATGTTAAATGTTGTTACATATGATAAGTGGCTGTTATAATAATTGAGATTTGGGCTAACTTCTGGACCAAGGAATTCAGCTACATTGTTGTGACGTGGAGAGTGTGTCAGGTCATTATTGCAGATGCACAATTGCTCTAATGAACAGAAGTTTTGAAATAAATTTTTGCCGTATCACAAACGCCTGGTGCTCAGCTGTTGTGGAGTCGACCACTTATCTGAAGGACAGAACACAACGCAGTCACTACTCATTGTCTCCTAACTTTATTATGTTTATTGTTGTTGCTGTCGATTTAGCCGACCTGTCCCGCCTCACAATGATCCACGATGGGAGGAGAGGGGACAGGGCGGATCGGCTACATTAGCATGACAGTGTCATTAGCAAAGATATTTCATTGTGAGTGATTTAAGTTGAGTGAAAGATTATTGAAGTATAAGGAGCAAAATTAGACCCTGCACGAAACCTGTGGAACACCTTTTGTGATTTTAATATTTGTGGAAGAGATGTTATAACTACGTACCTTTTGAGAACAGTCTAAGAGGTAACTCTGAAACCATTTTATTATACTGTTTTAAAAATGTTAGTTGACCAAGTCTTGTGAGTGGAATCTCATACTTAACAGTGTAAACTACTTTTGACAAGTCAAGGAATAGTGCACAGCAGTAGTGGCCTTTATTCCAGTTACTCCAGAGAAAAAATAATAAATCCATCATTGCTGTGGTGGTGCAGTAATTCTCTCGAAAACCAGACCGTTTACTATGCAGGAGATTGTGACTTTTTAGGTCGAACTTTATTCGTGATGTAAGTATTTTTTAGAATATTTTAGTAACTGGTGATAGAATAGAGAATGGTTCTATAATTATTAGGATCTTCTTCTGAGCAGTGTTTATATACTGGACGAATAAGAACATATTTCCAATCTAGTGGAAATGTACCTTCGGTGAGTGAGTGGTTGAAATTAGAGTGAGGGGTTTATAGATGACATCTGTCACAGCCACAAGTGCAAATGCATGAAACTCGTCTTCTCCCGTGGATGACGATGTCTTAAATGATGGTAGCTTATGCAGTAAATCCAGTTCAGATATGGGACTAAACAAAAAGTAGGGACGATGACTTTCACTCGCATTTTTAGGGTTGGTGCGTGAAGAGGAAGAAGTGAGTGATGTGAATGGTGGTGTATTTGGAGACATTTTACTCTGGTGTGTCTTGTCAAAGATATGTCCTGCTGATCCAAAATTAAGTCCATTGACAATGTCTTGTTTTGTGAGCAGTTTTTTACCATCGAATCGAGTTTTTTTGGTAGAACATTTTGCTTTCCTTTGTTTTCAACGTAATTGAATGTTTGCCAGAAGAGTCTTGGATTTTTTTTGTGAATTAGGAATAGTCTGAAAATAGCATGAAAATGTAGTGTTTCTTATTTGGTCAAGTACAAATATTTCTTAGTGATCTATAGGTAATGCAATCAGGGAGGTTATTTGATGTTTTACATTATTCCAGGATATATATATCGAATGTTCATTCATTATGAAATGTATGGATCAAACCATGGTGAAAGATCATCCCTTTCATGAACTTTTTTAAGGTGGCATGTTTGTCAATTCTTTTTATAAAATGTTTCTGAAATATGTCCAAGCACTTTCAAAAACTGGAATTTTGCTCACCATTTCCCAGTAAAAATTGAGTGTCATGTATAAATCCTTGAATATCTAAATGTTGAAATAATCGTTTTATCATGTTTTTTTAGGTGTTTTAGTTATTTTTGTATGATGAATGCCAAAGATAACAGCATGATCACTTAGATGGTTACCTAAGGCTCCCACTTTTGACAAAATACTGGGTGAATTTGTTAGTAGAATATCAGGTATGTATAAAGGTCCGGATCGTTTTTATTTTGGGTCAAGTGGTTGAAGTAATCAGTTGATTTAGATTGGTTGTAAAGTGTAATTCGTCATGTAGTGGGTTTAGCCAATTAAAATTTAGATTCCCTATGATCAATAGTTCACTCTTTGGAATGGGTAACACTTTTATATCGATATTGATGTTATTTTGCTATTCGGTTGTGTATCACAACACATCAGAGGACAATTGTGGTTACCTGGAGAATAAATTATTCGCACGATACATTCAAAAGAGCCCGGGTCAGATAGAGTAGTAAGTTGTATCGAAAGGTAGGTAATTGTTCACATATACTGCCACACCTCCTCTTCATTGTGTATATCTTAAATGTAGTTTTCTGGCATGTAGATAGGCATGTCTAAATTTCATATCATGAAATTTTATATCTCCAATGGCAGTCTTGAGCCCATGGTGGAATTTCCACATTCTTATGGTGGGGAACCATCTCTCTCTTGGAGAATCACTGTTGACTTATCAACAAGAGAAGGGCTAAGTTGCCCCTTGACCAAAAGCACCACCCAGCCCGATGATCTTAATAACATGAAGCAAGGAATTACGTAGATTAATTAGAAGCAATCCTACAGAATGTGTTAACTTAAGTATTTGTATTTAAGAAAGGCGCAAAAGGGTATACCTTGCCGTTCTTGCTCTGCCCTTCGTTGCACCTCCCGTTGCACCTCTCTCTGTTGCACCTATCTCTGTTGCATCTCTCTCTGTTGTATCTCTCTCTGTTGCGCCTCTCTTTGTTGCACCTCTCTTTGTTGCACCTCTCTTTGTTGCACCTCTCTCTGTTGCATCTCTCTCCGTTGCATCTCTCTCTGTTGCATCTCTCTTTGTTGCATCGCTCTCTGTAGCATCTCTCTCTGTTGCATCGCTCTTTGTTGCAGCAAACTCTGCAGTAAGGACATCTGTGGAGGTTTCTGCCTCTGCAACAATATTTGCAGTGGCGACATCTCCATCAATTCCCTCTGTTGCTGCATCATCTCCCTTCGTGGTCCCTCCACCAGTCGTTCAAAAAGCGTCTGTTGCATGTGCTGCATCAGCATCAAATGAAACATCTGTTGGACAAATGAAACAAGAATATGAGATACGAGTGCTGTATGTAATTGATTACCTCTGCTGTGTTTTCTTTAAAGTTTTGCAGGAATCCGCTTAACCACACAGATTATAAAACATTAGGGACATTTTAAATGGAGTGTGGATTGCAGCACAGCATGGCCTTGCCCTGCTTCACTAATGCACACATTGAAACCACACACTGTACTGAATTCTTCATAGCAATGCATGAACCATTAAAATAATTGACAAACTCAAAGGTACATTTAGTTCTTCTTGGTTCTTTCGGTAAAGTCACGTAGAAGGGAAGTAGTAAAATAATAAAAATAAAACATAATAAAATAATTCTCACGACGTTTCGGCTACAACGCAAGCAGCCGTCTTCAGGTGAAGAATGAGACACTACCAAGCTAGGAGCTTATATATACGCTGGGTTGGAGGTGCAAGAAGAGCGCCTTAACAAAAAAGAATGTGCATATGAAGAGGAATTTAGCATATTCGTGGGAAATGCGTAGGAGGTGGGCGGGGGGGTTTCAAAGTCATATTATGCCCATGCATTATGCAGGATCAGCAGCACCAAGGGAGGGTGTACGGAGTAGCATTAACAAAGGAAAGGAATGTTAATAGTATGTAGCTGCAGTTACTAAACAACCACGTAGAAAACTAAAGTATAAACTACATAAAAAACTGAAGTATAAACTGCATAGCACCATCAGTGTACTTACTATACTCTACAATAAGCTGAGTTACTCACAGCAAGTAATACATTACAATTCTACGTCGTAAAAATTATATAATATGCTTCCATCTAAACTTTATTCTCTTACATCACACGAGCATACACCGTACTATATACTGCCATAGATAAACCCAACATTAAATTATATACTGTATTGCTATAAACCACCCTATACCTTATACATTTTAATATAACACTATGTATTATTCTACCCACCCTAATGTGTATCACACTGCTATATGTTTACTATACAATTACGATACTATATATTACTTTGTACATTGTATTAAGCATATAAATGTTATACTATTTGTTATCATACACTGTACAATTGACCGTCGTGTCAATGGGTGAGTCGTGGGGGGAAAACTTGCAGCGGAGCAAAGAATCCATTCCCTGCGGAGAATACAATGCCAGTGAGTGGAAACGCGGTCTGAAAGTCACCGTAAACGTGAACACAATCAGTTAAGATCCGAAATGGTTTATTACGTCCTTCCAATGATTGCTCAGCCAGAATCCATCTTCTCGGTTAAAATTGTCTCTGTGTTTGTATATGTGGATCGCCTCATGAACGAATCTCTCATGATAGCCAGATGGCTTGCAGAGAACCTCTGTCTTGGAGAAGTCAATGTCATGTGAGCCCACTGAGTTGTAACAGTGATCTGCCACGGCTGAGGAGTTTGTCCTACCGTGTTTCAGGTCTGCTTTATGTTCACGGATGCGGTCCGAGACATGTCGTTTGGTTTCCCCAATGTAACTGCTACCACAGAGGCAACTTAGTTTGTAGACGCCAGGGTACTGTATGTCTGGAACCACATCTTTTACAGACGGTACCAGATCACGGATTTTGTGTACTGTGTTGAATCGGACCTGGATCTTGTGTTTAATCAGGATTTTGGAGATCTTTTTTGTGACCCCAGCAATGTAGGGTAAGGTGATGGTCTTGAAAGGCTCCTCAACAGGATCCTTCTTGATGTTTGGAGTGATGGCTTTGCGGATTGTGTAGTCGGAGTAACCATTAGCCTTAAGAGCTTGGCGTACGTGTTTGAGTTCCTGATTAAACACAAGATCATCAGGTGTGAAAACCATGGCAAGAAAATTTGAAAAAAGTGCCGCTTATTTTCTTAACGTTAGTACCACGGACAGCGATTTGGCAGTTGTTCAGATGGACGAGTCCATATATGTTCGGAAAAAAGAATGGGGGAGAGGAAGAGAATGCAATGCGGTCTGAAAGTCCTCTCCCCCGTTTTCTTTTCCGAACATAGATGGACTCGTCCATCTGAACAACTGCCAAATCGCTGTCCGTGGTGCTAACATTATTTTTAAAAACGCCACTTTTTTCACATTTTCTTTCTGTGGTTTTCACACCTGATGATGATTGCTTGTGTTGCAGTCGAAACATCGTGAGAATTTTGTTTAATATTTTTATTATTTTATTGTTTCCCTTCTACGTGACTTTACTGAAAGAACCAAGAATATGAATCCCTGCAGTCACGAAAGCCTTAAATCAAAAAGTAGCGATCCTGATAAAAAAAAAGAAAATACGTTTCTCCCATGCTTCCCAAAAGATGGACCGACAAGCAAAATAGTGCTTATCGCAGGCAAATTTCAGGGCCCAAAAAATTACACCGAAATATATATCATCCACGCCCCATTAATTCAAGACTGTTTTTTGCATCATGAGTAGAACAAAGTATTGAGAAAATTGTGGGAGAGGACTGGAACCTGGTATTGCTTTAGATAAATCACATCGCCCTAGGTTAGACTCCTCCATATTACAGTGGAACCTCCTCCAAGAAATCATGTCCCAGTACCGACTAGCCGAACCATGGAAAACCCTGAATCCTTAAAGAGATTACACCAACATCTTACATTACTCTCTCCAGAGCGACGGTTTCCTCGTTTCCAAACCCCTCCTCTCACAAATCCCGAAGATAAAAAATATTTGATCTACAACTGTTCGACCACACCCCAGTGTTTGCCCAATTCCTTCTTAACTCTGAAGAATACACTTTTGGTCTCTGGACAAGAGGCGACTCGCCAAAGAGCAGATAATGGAGGTCAGGAAAAAAATTGAAGAATTCATGGTGGTTAACTCAGAGTAACCCCCCCCCATGACCTCCTTGGTAATGAGGCGCCCTCATAGCCTCATGGAGAGGCTAATTAATTAAAACTCGTACAATTAGAAACACCAATGCCAAAAAGATAGTGTCGCCACACAATCCCAAAACTCTATGAGGTAAATAAACTCTACTAAATTAGAACTGGAAAATATTCTTAATGACCAAACCACCTTGTAAGTTATGAAAGCAAGACTTATTTTTCTTGACTCCTCCACGAGAAAAATATTAGCGAGAATGGTTAAATCTCGGCGGAACCATATTCACATAGCCTCCATCCATCATGCAACGGGTTGCCCTCTTACGAATGTCAAGGAAATAAACTCCCACTTTAAAGGCTTCTACAAGGCCTTATACATGTCAGACTCTCCTATACCTGAGAAAATAGACACTTCTGCAAAATCTCCCTCCCTAGACTGGCTGCCCCCCTGGTAGGAGAGCTGGAGAGGCCCATTTGTTAGCAGGAGTTGAACGATGCATTGGCATCATCTCCATCAGGCAAGGCTCCACGCCCGGAAGGGTTCCCCATCGAGCTCTACAAGGCGGTGGGGGCTCCTATCACCACACACCTACTGGCAACCATCAAAGCGGCTTTTACCCTCGAGGGCTTCCCGGTCTCCATGAACGAATCCAGGATTTTGGTACTTTACAAACCCGGTACCCAATCCAAGTTGGTGGGAAACTACAGGCCAATTTTCCCTACTGAACTCGGATTACAAACTGCTCACCAACATGCTGCCAATCAGACTTGAAAAAATCCTCCCCTTAATCATAGGAGAGGCACAAACAGGTTTAGTTAAAAACAGGAACTCGGCTGACAATATCAGGACCCTACAAAATGCGATTGATATTGATACCAGGGAAAAGCTTATGGCATATGCTCTAACATTAGATGGAGAGAAGGCATTTATTTGACAGGGTTGAGTGGGCCTTTATTTTTCGAGTCATGAAAATTTTTGCATCCCTTCCACATTCATGAATAAATGCAAGCTCCTTTATACCAATCTCTCTGCCACAGTGATAACCAAAGGACTAATCTCAAGTTTTCCATTAGGTAGGGACACCAGGCAAGGATGCCCCCTTTCGCCACTCTTGTTCACACTGGCAATAAAGCCGCTTGCAGAAAGCACGAGAAGTGACCAGAATGTGACTGGAACATGTTCAAATTGTCTACAGTCTAGAATGTTTTCTCTTGCATTGCAAGCCTAGAAACAGATCGGGATCCACATATATTCAAAACAAATTTTTTTTGGTGATATCACTGATATCTTCCAGAATTAACTGCACTGTCAGATTGAACATGTTCTTTTTACTTGTTAATGTGTTTTTTGTACGTTATACATACCTTTTTGTGTTAATGGTTGGTTCATTACTAAATATATGCTGCTGAAGACCCAATAAAAAGCCAACATCTACCTCATGCACCACATTATTGCCACTCCAATGCCAATGTGATCTCTCACCGAGGTTATTGCAACTCTCTGATCAATGGTCTTCCCAAAATCCCTCATTCTAACTCAACCGGTCCAACATCAGATCCTTCCACAGCTTCCATAGCACTACCTCAGACCAATGCATGACTGTTGCTAAGATACTCCGTAGAGTTGCTCTAATGACTTCTCCAGCTCATCTCACTTAAACTTTGTGCCCGAGTCTTCAGCTCCAGCAACCAAAGCCCACTGCCGATATCTCCACTCAGGCTCTGGTCACTTAGCGAATCCTTCTTGATTGCCCCTGCTGTGTGGCATTCCCTCCCCACAGTCATCCACATGGCTGACCATCTCCTATTGTTCAGGTTCAGGGTTACATCCTTTCTCTACTTCTGCCATTGGAGACTGATGCTGATATCCTGAGTTGTAATTCTCACCAATGTGTTGTCGGAGTCTTCTTTACCTCCCCATGGCTCCAGCCTCCCCCCCAAATAACACTCTCCTCTTTTGAATGTAAAACATTCCTCCCTCCGTCTTCAACACAACCAAAACTGGAATGCGTCATAATTTATATGCCCCTCATGGTCCAACATATTTGTGTGGACGTATTTAAATGCATTATAAATGCTAATGATTAAAGTCAGTTGCTGTGTTTTGTATTTGAAATTAGCATTGCCAATGTAAGTGTTGGTCCTCGCATGTAAGTAATACTGTTTTACATTTCTATTATCTCAAGACAAGCCGGTACCAGAACATGAACTCACTCTTCCTTTCACAGAATGCAGCATCTGTAACATCATAGTTGCGTGGACTCTTACTGCAGTGGAGCAGACGTGCGAGCTGTGTGTGCTGTACCACCATCTTCATTCACAACATTAATACTGCCTTTGTTGAAGTGGAAGTGCCTACAACACTGTGCCTACTGTGGGAATGAGACGATCCTGCCTGCATGTGTGCCAGATGGGCAGCTTCCCTGCTGCAGCAGGTGAGGGCTTGTCACTCACCCCCTGCTGTGCAGACACACTTACCTCCATTTCTGCAGTAACATCTGGTGTCTACAAGAAAAATAGGTACAACTTTAGCAACATGTTCACAATATGTAATATTACACTTAAACTGCCATATCATGTTAAAATACCATTTCAAAGTTCATGTCATGGAGATATCACTCATATCTATCACAAATAATTTCACTCAGATTTAAAGTTTTAAATATTATTAGGATTGTTAATACAGCAATAAAAGTAACAAATTCACTGTTAATAGAAATATAACCATAGTATTTACATCTAAATTTTGTGATTTCAAAAACCTAATCTAGGAGCAGTAATATCAATTGTGGCGGCACCAGTAAAATGATACTCATGTCTCCTCCAAAGGAATAGGCAGGAACAGACATTGCCATGACAATACTCCAGGGACGATACATGACAATCTGCGTTAAAGAAAGCGTTTCACCACAGCAGGCTCACAGTCATCGCCAGTGCAAGGGACACAGCACATAGGCCCAGCAAATACTGCACACGTTTCTATATACATTACTGGCCGGGCGGCACTGCGGATGAATACCCAAACCACGTGCACAGGTTTGTGATTTCAAATCAAGGTCAGATGGTCAACTCCGTCTATCAACGTTCTGTGGTCAATACAATTGGTACCACTTTGTGTGTATTCACGAGTGGCTATGTTATGGAGGGACTGTCCTCATCATAGGCATGTGGAATGTCCACCACTGGTTCAGGCAAGCCGCCAGGAGAGACAACCACAACTTAAGCAGCTTGATTGAGATAGAAAAACATGCAGTCTACATAGTGAAGAGTTTTATGATCAATCAGGTGACTTTAATCAACATTTTACAACTGATCTCCATCTCCGCTGATTGTTCATGAATCCTCAGCAGCACCGGCCACTGAAATCCTTAATTAAGAAAATTATTTCGGCATGTAATTTTTATTCATAAAATTCAATGCCGAAGTGTGCGAACAAAAGACTCACGGAAAAGTCAACAGGTGCACAAATAATGCAGCCCCTGTGCCCCTCCCACCCCGACCTCGACGCCCACGGGAAGGGAGTTTCACGACAGAGCAATGCGCCACCACCGCCCAAGCACCACACACCAGAACACAAACCTTCACACTCGTATCTACATAACACCGCCTCATTACCAAACAAAGACAAAGATCCCCCTATAGCCTTAACAAACTGTTGGGGCAAGTGCTGTTAGCGAGCACCTATAAAGGCTGAGTCTACCTAGGGGAGGCCCAGGATCGGTTCAGATAATCACCTCTGATGTTGACCGTGAGCGGAAATCGAACTCGGGTCGCCTGGTTCATAGTGTCGGGTTCATAGTGCAGCGCGCTAACAACTATACCAACTCTAGATGCACCCACCTTAATTTAATGTGAGAGATACCACACTTCTACCAGCTGCACTCACTAACCTCAAATGGCAAAACCTGGTTAACACTGAGTTGGGATTATACACAGCAATCATTGCCCCGAATATGAATACTTTGCAGGACCCTCCTGAATAAGAGTGTTAAGTGAGGCTTACCTAGATTAGCAAGCATAATATTACAATAAATACACCTGTCTATGTGTTTTTTATTTGCCTTGTGCAGTCTGCTCATACAGAATACATGTGTACGTGTGGCCCTCAGACTGGAGTCACAATATCTATAAATAAAACACAGTAGTGTGTCAAAAGGAATCTCATTCCCAGTCAGATGACAAGTACTATTATTAACGACATCATCGCCACAGGGAGGGACATGGCTCTGATGGAATGAAGGACGCTGCTGGCATCAGCTGCAAGTTAATTTTCACAGGTATTTCATTTAAATATGTTATGTATATGGGTTCTTTTTGCAATTCCTTGTTTTTTTAGCTTTCATAGCCTGAGTTGACAAGACCTCTTCCTTGGTCTCCTGCTTGGCTTGGGGGGGCTGCTTTGTTGGGGCCGTGTGGGTGAGAGGAGAAGGTGCAGAATGGAGACTTGGAGCCATCACAGCCTTGGTTGCATTAATTATTCAAATGTGGTCTTGGTTGGTTACAGCCACTAAATAAATTCGAGCAATCAGAAAATGGAAGTGTGTTCTTACCAGACTGTCTGGTGTCAGTGTACTGAATGCATGCTTCACAGTAAGCCTCCTCAGTACAATTGTCTGTAACTGGATATAAGTTATCATGCGTATTATCTCTTTAAAATCCATTTACTTATCCTAAATGTATTTATTTAACAAATGTAAAGGATATACAAATTTGTATTAAAACAAACAATGTTTAAATTACACTCACGTGAACAAATACCTGAAGTGGAAATGTTGGATCTATAGTTAAAGAGAGGGAATACAGTTGCTTTGTTTGTTATAGGCTGTGGTGCATCAGATGCAGTGCTGAGAATACTTGGGAGTTTGCACAACAGAGGCTGAACGCCACTTACCGGGCGAGGAGGCTCCTCCAGGCTTTCAGAGAGAGAGGCCGTCTGCAAAGATCCGTCAGGCAAGTCATCAGGCAAGATCCATCAGGCAAGTCACGCTTTAACTGCTCACCTCACCATCAACACAAGCGATCGTCTTCAGGAAAAAAAAGAGACGATGGCTTGTGTTGTGATCGAAACGTCGTAGTTTTTATTTTATTTACTTTTATTATTATTATAATTTCTATCTACGTGACTTTACTGAAATAACCAAAGAATACTCTAAATGCATGTTTCTAAATGTGGAGGGAAAATGTGGAGGAACCGAAGAAAAATCCACGTGACCACAGGGAGAACATACAAACTCAAAATATACAGACATCAGGGATGGGATCGAACTCACAACCTCCTGTAGGGAGATAACATCTCGCCACCTGGCACCCCTAACCTATCCATTGTTGACCTGGTGTGTCCGATCATTTGGTGGTGCTGTTTGAATTTTTGGTTCCTTCAACTACTCCTGTTTTTAAGCACCAGATTAGTTTTTGCAGTCTCAAATCAATCACTTCAGACATGTTTTCCTCATAAATCAGATTTAAATCGTACTTCCTGGGAGACAACAGTTAAAATATGTAATATTACATTAAACTGTATGCTGGACATCCTTCTTCTTCCTAGCGGTGTTCCCGCTGTGGCGCAGGGTCCGCTTTTCGGCATTGTCTTTTCCATTTGGCTCGGTCCAGGGCATCTTCAGGGGATGCTGGACATCCTACATCCCCTAAAGTCATGCTGGATCTCGGCTGTTAAACTCACACTGGTACACAGACGAGTTACGTCCGCTGAATGTGACTGCTTGCTGGGCTGAGTGAAGTTGGACACAAACTATTTTTACCATCCATTACATTTTCAAGCAATATTTAGATAACTACAGAAACGCACTGGCTCTTCCTTGTACGAGCTATCTTTCAGCTGCTATAGCTAATGCCTGGAAAACCTTAAAGAAACTTTTTTCAAATTTTCATGTTTCTTCATTTTAAAATTTTTATTTCGAGAAATAAATTACAAGTTCGCCAGTTTCTTCAGTTTTTTTTTAAATCTACACAATCCATCTTTCCATTCAATATCTTCCTCCTACTACCTTACCAACTGTTCCCACCCCGATTATGATTTATATTTATCTGAATGTTCAGAAATGTCCTTGTCTGAAGTTGCATCACTGGTAGCTAGATCCGGGCCCACTTACTATCCTCTGGATCCTTTTCATTCTCAGCTTTCGTGCTACCGTGCCATCTCCTGCAGTCTTCTTCTTCCACGCATTTGTCCCACTCATGTGGGGTCCGCTGTCCTTGCCAACCTTCTCCACGCTGCCCTGTCCTGCACCATCTCTCTTTCTGCTTCTCGGGTCACCATGTCCGATCGCACCACATTGCCCCACCTCTTCTTCTGCCTTCCTCTTGATCTCTTTCCTTCCACTTGCATCACTTGCACCTTCTTGTTTCGCAGTGTTCATCACTAATCTTATTAATAATTCACTCCCTTCTGGTACTGTCCCTTTACTCTTTAAATGTGCTATTACCTCTTTGTTTAATAAGCCTGACCTTGATTCTGCAGTCCCCAGTAATTATTGCCCCATTTCAAATCTACATTGTCTCTCCAAGGTCCTCGAGCATGCAGTCGCCATGCAACCCCAACATCACTTGCTCATATGTGACCCTCCGGATCCCTTTGAGTCCATTTTCAAGCCTGCTTACAGTTCGGAAATAGCCATGGTGACGGTTGTGAATGATGTGTTGGTTGCTGCAGATGCAGTCCTGTTTAACATTATCGTCCTTTTGGACTTGAGTGCTGCCTTTGACACTATCGATCATGGGGGTTTATGGTATTGCCTTACACTGGTTCACTTCCTACCTCTCCGTTAGAGAGCAGTTTGTCAGACTTGAAGGGCAAAATTCTGAGACACGTTCTGTTCCCTTTGGTGTGCCTCAGGGTTCAGTCATCGGTCCACTGTTTTGTATATACAAGGACTTACGAACACTCAACTTATGAACTTTCAGAGATACGAACAAACCTGTCCGTAAATGTCCAGTTGCATGGTCGGACCGAGAGTGGTAAGTTCAACCACCGCGCAATAGATGGCGGTGGTTGTTCGGTGTCATTACCCAGCATTCCCAGCATTTCTGCCTGGGCCGCCGCCATTGTCTCTTTTTGTGTTATCGCTGTGCGGTTCACTCTGGCATTATCTGTGCTTTTCACAAACATGATGCTATTGCCTGTTACAAGCTGATTGATTAAGAGAAACCGAGAGCAACTGTGCAGATCTCTCTTGATAAGTTTTTCAAGAGGGTAGAGAGTAAACACAAGCAGAACATAACGAACCAGTGGCATCTACATCTGCAGAATATTCATGGTTAAACAAACTAAGCCTACATTTAAACTATGATATAGGAAATAATACACTCTTTTTACAGATTCTCATCAGTCTGTTGAAGAGCATTCTAAGTTGATTGTATAGAAGCAGTGGGGCCATTTATAGTACAGTATAGAGTCATACAGTACTGTAAGCACAGGCTGCCTCTCGCACCACCAATTGGCAGCATCCTGAAGTTTCCATAAACAACAGATCTATAAGCACATGGCAAAATTCCAGGTGGTTGTCCGAATTTTTACAGATACGTGAAGGAAGATATGTGTTGCCGTCTATGCCAGTGCTGGTTAACAGAGCTTTTACTCTATATGACCCCACTTGGCCATATTTTATGTTAATTCACTCTCAGCTTCTATAGTTATGTTGATAAAATTCAAATTTACATTCACGTTAAATCTTCCCTTTAAACATCTACTTCTAGTCTGTCAGATTCCCTCATGAATATCAAGGCTTGGATGAAAAATAAGTTTATTCAGCTAAATGGTGATAAGATGGAGGTGTTGCTTGTTGGGTCCCCACCAACTTTTAAAGGCTGGCATCTAACCATTGGCTGCCAGTCTGGTTTTAGGTAGAGTTCAAGATGATTCTGATGCCTCACATACACGAGCTCTTTTTCGCCAATATGTTCCAGCAAGAGTACTTTGGTCTTCTGAGTTGTGTCTGTTGTGTGTTCCGAGGGCAGATCTCTGTACGAAGGGTGACTGGGATTTTTCTCGTGTGGCCTCCAGGCTGTGGAATTCACTTCTACTGAAAGTTGGCTCTGTTGACTTCCTCGCTTTATTCAAATCCTACTTTAAGCTGCAGTTGTTTTTAAGGGCTGTTCTATTTCTTGAATTATATGAGCTGCGTAACTAAATGTTGATATGACTGTGATCCACAAGACACATGCAGTGTTACAAACTCTCTAAAGCAGAAAGCCACCATATGAACCTCAAAAAGTTACAATATTTAGTAGCTGGATCGGCCTTGTACAGTTCTCTAAATTTTCACGAGACCATTTTACTAGTATTACACGTGACTTCATACAGCATCGATAAATACACACCTGGAATTTCTCCTTAATTAGCATGATACCGTCATCCCAGAAAGTCACTAGAGATTTGTCAATTAGAATGATGTCGCTAGGGAAAAGCAAAAGGTTACTCAATCGAACGCCAAATTCCTCATTTGAATTTAGGAATTTGCGGAAGCGCCCCATGAGTACGTATGTCTGGCTTCACTGCAGGGCCACTTCCGCATGCACAGATGTTTCGTGTATCAAAGAATGTTACAGGCGACCCCCACGCCTACAACATAATTGGTTCCTGAACGACGGTCGCAAGTCGAGCCGTCGTAAGTAGAACCCTTATTTCTCAAAGGTGCAATGTTATATACATTGGGATTCCGTTCTTGGAAACCCATTACATACCATTAAAATATCAAAATTGCCCACGAAAATAAGTGAAAGTAACTCTAACAAACATTTATTGGAATTTAACATAACTTTTAGAAAAAATTATTAAGTAAAAACAAACACATTTGAAAATTCTTAAGTACTTTTCTGCACGTACATCACATTTCCTCTTCTCAGGTGTAGTGAAAGGCGAACATTTAAAAAATTTTGAAGAAAATTTACGAAAAGTGAAGAGTGTTGCGAAAGTGACGCTGCGTTCGCTCTAGGCATAGCTGCAGACTGACGGGCTGTCCTGTACATACGCATATCGACAAGTCTGCGCATGACATGAGCAGATTTTTCGCTAATCGACTTGGCGTTGGTAGCAGTCCGTTAGGCGGTCGTAGATACGAGTTTTGGTCGTTACCGTGGGGGTCTTAATTACTATAAGAAAAGTCGTAACAGCGGGGGGTTGCAAGTTGAGCCGTCGTAAGTTGGGGGTCACCTGTAAATTGGAATAGCTATCAAGCTGCACTTGCATTGCCTGGGAATCAAACACGGCTCGCAAACCACAGTTTAGTTAGACATAGTACACACAGTGGTACGTAATGTGCAGGCATGCTTTTTAAATTGCATCTATGTATGTTGAATGTCTTTTGCACGAAACATAGCCAATCGTGCTAATTGGAGGTGCGAGGGAAGGACAACAAACTAAACCAAAAAGTGGTTCTAAAGAAATTAATTAATGCTGGATACATTACGTTATTAGATTTATATCTGCTACATATTGTTAACTAGTCTTACTACCCGGCTTCGCCCGGAACTTGGATTCACCACGCCCGGCCGCCTTTGTCTCCCCAGTGGCGATGTTCACACACCACACCGGTTACTCGTTTGAGGCTGAGTCGACCTAGGGGAGGCCCAGGATCGGTTCAAATAATCGTCACCCGGTGGTGGCCGTGAGCGGGAATCGAACTCGGGTCGCCGGGTTCATAGCGCAGCGCGCTAACCACTACACTACCGCTCCCCCCACACACAAACGCGCGCACGTCCATAGGTAAACATACACGCGCTTGCTGCAGACAGACACAACTTTCAGGGTGCGTACGACAGTAAACAACTCAAATAATAAAGCAATGCTGCTCTTCGCGCAAAGAACGCCTTAGACCTGCAACACATTTGTATGGCACTTTACTCGCGAAGGGTTGGGGGGGGGATGCGTGACTGCAGCAGGCACACTGCATAATGCTTCCGCATGCGGGTGACATCACAGATGTGATGTCACAGCTCACTTGGCGTGCAAAATTTATCCATTATTGCGTCCCCCCCCAAAAAAAATATATACAAAAGTGTATTTTTATATTTTTTGCATGGTGTACAGTCTGGAAACTACCACATGCCAAATTTCAAGTTTGTTGCATGTTGGGAAGTATGCTAAACATTTCGAACAGACACATATTCACACATTTTCCTTTTATATATATATAAATAGTGACCATGACAAATTATATCTTTTCATCATGTGGTCATTAGTAGAAGGTAAAATTTCGGTGAGGATTAAAATCATAGTTATGGACTGATAAGATGATCTCATGCGTAAAAGCAAGTAGAAATATGGCATTACATGATCATGAGGAATGGTGGCCACATGGGGAGGGCATCATCCCGAATGGGATAGATGATGGTTGTTGATATTGATGATTCGTGACCAGGCTGAGGCCATCAATTTTCTGAACGTATTGCTTCCATTACTAAAGGGTGGCTCCCCGGTTTCAAACCACAATCTCGGTTTTGCTGGCGATATGGACTGATAAAGTCTCACAAGCAACGCACATATTCCTGACAACAATACATGTAACATTTAATTATCAGTTATAAGAATGGTGAGTCTGTAAGTTAATGCACTTTCGTGGATTTTGTGACTTTCATAAAGTTTAGGTGTCTTCAGCAGAGCGTATGGTACACTAGCCAAGTTTACATGTCTTTACCAAAGTTTACATCACTTAAGTGACGTTTGTGGCACAAGATGTTATAGGCTGTGGGTATATGTTGTGAACGGCAGAGGGCAGTGCAGCAATCCATTGTTGTACTGTATTTTTATGCTCCCATGTTTATGCTCCCGTCTCTCACCAACCCGCACTGATCAGCATGGTGAAGTACGAACAAATTACCCCCATGACCCACACGGTGTGGGGAAGCCCTCATCCAACAGTGGATGGGCAAAATATCAGTACATGTAAATGCACTCCAAACTCCTAATTCCGACACCCACGTTCAATCCCATAACTTGTGTCTACTCCCTCCATCTTCACCTCCATACCTTAGCAAGAGCGTCCTTCAAGGCTTTGTCAGCTGAAATGCCAGCCAGTTTCTGAAAGAAAACATCGCGTGTATTAACAATGTATAGAATGAAGGATATTATTAGTCAAACTTTCACTAAATATGACTTGTAATATATTTTAACACAAGAAATATGTAACATAAGATTTTACTTATCTTGAAAATTAAACTATTAATCCGACAGTTTACTTGATCTTAATTAGATAGGAAAATATCTAAATGGCAAATCTTTGTGGTTTAAGATGAAGTAGAGTCTGTAGGGACAATTTCTTTACAGTAAGACAGCTCATAGAGAAGAGTTGGGAGTATGGGAAGGATATCCCTATCCCAGCTAAGATAAGCTGGCTGCTTCTAAACCTGTATATTGGGTTCAGGCCTGTGTGTAGACATTTAGGTGGCATGATGTAAGGACCAGTGTTTGTCAAGGATGTAGTTTTCTCCTACATTTTTTCATGTAATGCTTGACGATGTAATCACCAAAATCCTGAATGTTAGCACAGCAGTATACCCATGCATCAATAAAGATAATATAAATGTGCAGGATCTGGAGTAAACAGATGCTGCAGATTTTGCTCGGGCTTTGGCTGCAGCTGTGCAGCTGTTGGCAGTCTGAGGCACTGAGTCCGGGCATTGAGGTGAGGTCTAAAGTTTCCGAAGACAGAGTTAATGGCGGTAGTAAGAAACGGGGCTCCTATAGTAGGATCACAAGTAATAAGAAGAGAGAAGGCTGGGGGAGTAGAGGACACTGTATGTATAGACAATAATGTCCATAATCCTGGAGGCTGTGAAAAGGCGGTCAAGAGGGTATTGCTCCAGCAGGGCAGGTCTTTGACGGGCTATGGAAACCACTTCGAGAAGAGAGGTAAGTTTGAGTGTTAAGAAAAGGGCATTTGAGGTGCGAGTGCTATCTGTAGCACTGCATGGATCTGAGAGCTGGAATTTACATCAGACGAAAAAAAGATTGACATTTGAGCATAAGTGGCTGTGACGTATGCTTGGAATTTCATGGCAAGACAGGATAAGTAAGCCATGTGGTGTGGTCCCATCATTGGCTTTGGCAGTGATGACATCATGATCTCTGACATTGAAGTTAATCACCATCACTAATGCAGATATGAAAGTGGTAAATATGGGGTATCATTGGTCACAAGGACCTTTCTGTGTTGGCGAGTCCCAAGAAGGGTTACATTTCACATTTGGGCATCACACAATTTGAAATTATGCATTTCCTTTTAAATTCTCTGACCAGGGGCAGGTTCATAGCTCCCTCCATATCATTCATACTTCCCAGTCTATTATTTTATTGGCTCAAATTGTGAAAAGTTGAGAGGAAAGAGGAATGTTGTGATTGTTCCACAGGACACTGCTACCGTCATCGAAGTAGCAACCTCCAGTTGTAAAATCAGTTATAAACCAGACCATGATCGCTCCCCTCCATCACGAATAAACAAACAGGATGGTACACAGGGGTGAAACTTTCAAGTGTCCCATCTTACCATCGGTGTCCTCAAAAGTACTCTGAACTAAATAGGTGTAGATCCTTTGTGGGAGGCTCTGAGCGTCACATGATCATGGTTTGGTGCATGGCCTTAAGGTGTTATGAACACGTATCCTTGGTGAACAACCACTTTCGGCTATTATTCCAGTCGATATGTTAACCTTAATCATAATTTCAGCACTTTTAGGGAAATTAACCATCCACTATGGTGTAACCTTAATTTCCTACCAACAGTCTCTTATAAATACGTAATTAACGAGTTAGTGTCAATGTATCTCATCTCTTGCCATGTACATGGCTACAAGGGATGAATGTAAACGTCCGTCAAGCAAAACTCGACTTGGTAAAGTTTGCTTGCAAGAAACTGGCTTCCTGTCCAGTGGACCTTCATCCATTCAGGTTGAGTGCCAAAGCTATTTTTTTTAAAAATACCGGAAAACTTAATTTGCTCCTATTAGGGTTGAATCTGGGTCTATTATTTTTTTTTATAAAAGATAAGGGTAATCGTTTTGGCTCCAATATGGCAGCAAATTCCACTCGCGATGACAGAAAAAAGACTACCTAAATTAATTCCTTCTGTCAGATGCAACAAATAAGATTTGCATCCAAGCTCGGAGCTTAAGCCTTGAACATTTTGGAGTCTACGATGATTGCCCTTGACATTTCTAAAACATTAGTTAATGTCTAATGTAACCAGCCAAGCCTATCCCTCTCCTCCCATGTTCATTACGAGGGGACAGGCCAGTTAATAAGTAAAAAACAACAACAATAATAGATGAGTTCGGAGGCGATACGTGCATACTCTGTGTTGTGTTCTGCCCTCCTGAGAATCGGATGACTCCATCACTAAGGGAGACCAGAGGGTTGTGTAACTGCAAGTTTTTATTTCGAAGAGTTCTTCTGAGGAGCATTCGTGCATCTGTAATTATGACCAGATGCACACCAATCAACCCCAATCCACACCACCTCACTGCTCAACCCCTGTACTGTACAGTGTCCACCAGAATCTGAATAGGTGCCCTGTACCCTGAATTGATTACTCTACTAGTGGGCGCGGCCTACTGAGCACTGACGTAACTATGGGTCCAATCAATGGTCATTAATTTCATTCACAATTATACTTGTGGTTAATTTACATTCAGCCCATACCGGCTCCACTAACACCACATGATACCTGCAAAACTACCATAATTTGGCATCCACTATAATCTACAAGCTTTGATTTCTAGCTTTCTGACTGATGGGTCGATACATAAAGTAGTGCAGTTCCTCTCAACATTTTTCATATCATGGCACACTTTTGAGCTTGCTCAATATTTACAGTACACTAAAGCAAAACATCACCGTGTTGCACCGTGTTTTTTTTATTGTACTGGTTTTTTTTCAATGTTTGTGTGTTCATGTCCCTTTAATACTAACACATATAACTTACTTTTACTTGTATTAAACTTTTTTTCTGCTGCTCTTGTTCTCATATTATATTCGCATTTATTTAATCGATTTGTGTTTTTCGTTTAAGACCCTGAACTCACTCTCTGCAAGATAAATGCATGTGTCTTTGTTAAGTTGCTGCTGGACTCATGCACCACGAATTTCCCTTGTGAAATAGCCAGAATTGACAATCCCTTGCTTACACTAATGTTACTGAGAACAAGGAATTCAAGTGGAGATTGCCAAAATCCGTGATAAGAATTTGCCACACTGCGCAAGTGTATTTGTGTCTGTGTGAGTGTCGTACAGGCCTGTGTCTTTTTATACCAGTGTCTCAGTATATTTTTGAGTGTGGCGAGCGGTAGTGACGCTTTGAGTGGCAGATTTGTGCAAGAAGGCAAACCGGTTGCGAAGCACTGCAGTAGTTGATGGTAGACAATCTGATACCTTCACCATCAAGTCCGGTGTTATGCAAAGATCTGTTTTGTCTCTGGCATTACTGTATTTCATCTATTTATAAATTACTCATCTTCCATTCATCGTATGATCCACTCTTTGCAGATAACTGGACACTTCATGCACCACTTAAATCACAAGCTGGAAGTAATATATCATGGGACCTCCCTTGACAGTATCAAAATATAAGAATAGGTTTTACCCTTTCTGGCAATAAAACAGGTGTTAAGATCTTCTTGGTTCTTTCGGTAAAGTCACGTAGAAGGGAAGTAATAAAATAATAAAAATAAAACATGATAAAATAATTCTCACGACGTTTCGGCCACAACGCAAGCAGCCTTCCTCAGGTGAAGACCAGGTCTGTCGGGGAGACAGCGTCTGAATGAAACACCACCACGCTTGGAGCGTCTATTTAAGCTGGGTTGGAAGGGGGGAAGGGCGCCTTGACAAAAGAATTCGCATATCATGAGGAATTTAGCATATTTATGGGAAATGCAGGTATGTGATTATTACTACTTGTGAAATGCGTAGGAGGTGGGCGGGGGGTTTTCAAAGTCATATTATGCAGGATTAGCAGCATCAAAGGGAGGGGATAGGGGTAGCATTAATAAAGGGAAGGAATGTTAATAGTATGTAGTTGCAGTAACTAAACAACCACGTAAAAAACACTAAAGTATAAACTACATAGTATCATCAGTATACTAAATATACTCTCCAATAAGCTGAGCTACTAACAGTAAGTAATACATTACAATTCTATGTCGCAAAAAATATAATATGCTTCCAGCTAAACTTTTTTCTTTTACATCACACGGGTCTACCCCGTACTATATGCTGCCATAGACAAACCCAACATTAAATTATATACTGTATTACTATACACCACCCTATACCTTAGAATAATACATAGTGTAATATTACACTATGTATTATTCTATCCACCCTACTGTATATCACACTGCTGTATATTCACTATACAATTACGATACTATATATTGCCTTATACATTGTATTAAACATTACAATTTTATACTATTTATTATTATACAATCTGCTATACACTATACCATTGACCGTCGAGTGAAAGATACTAAGAGGAAGCAACGAAATATGTCAATGGAAGAGTGGTAGTAGGAGACTTGCAGCGGAGCAAAGAATCCATTCCCTGCGGAGAATACAAGATATATAGTCATGCCAGTGAGTGGACTGAGGTCTGAAAGTCACCGTAAATGTGAACACAATCAGTTAAGATCCGAAATGGTTTATTGCGTCCTTCCAATGATTTCTGAGCCAGAATCCATCTTCTTGGTTGAAATTGTCTCTGTGTTTGTATATGTGGATCGCCTCATGAACGAATCTCTCATGGTAGCCAGATGGCTTGCAGAGAACCTCTGTCTTGGAGAAATCAATGTCATGTGAGCCCACTGAATTGTAACAGTGATCTGCCACGGCTGAGGTGTTTGTCCTACCGTGTTTCAGGTCTGCTTTATGTTCACGGATGCGGTCCGAGACATGTCGTTTGGTTTCTCCAATGTAACTGCTACCACAGAGGCAACTTAGTTTGTAGACGCCAGGGTACTGTATGTCTGGAACCACATCTTTTACAGACGGGACCAGATCACGGATTTTATGTACTGTGTTGAATCGGACCTGGATCTTGTGTTTAATCAGGATTTTGGAGATCTTTTTTGTGACCCCAGCAATGTCGGGTAAGGTGATGGTTTTGAAAGGCTCCTCAACAGGATCCTTCTTGATGGTTGGAGCGATGGCTTTGCGGATTGTGTAGTCGGAGTAACCATTAGCTTAAGAGCATGGCGTACGTGTTTGAGTTCACTGGCAATGTGTTCCTGGTCGGAGATGCATTGGGCTCTATGGGGAATTCTTCTGGGATGGATGATGGTGGGAATCCGGTTTTAGGTAAGCATCCGTATGGGTCGCTTTCCTGTAGACAGAGTGACTCATTGAACCATCAGGTCTCCTTTTAATTAGGACATCCAAAAAGGGTAGCTTGCCATCTTTTTCGACTTCCATGGTGAATCTGATGGCTGGGTGTATGGAATTGATGTGGTCGAGGAATTGGTCTAGAGCAGGCCGGCCATGTGGCCAGATGACAAAAGTGTCATCTACGTACCTCTTCCATAAGGTCGGGCGTAGAGTGGCAGTCTGGATGGCGTCAGTCTCAAATTTCTCCATGAACACGTTGGCTACAACCGGAGATAGGGGGAAGCCAATTGGGGTGCCCTCAGTTTGTTTGTAGAAAGTTCCATTCCAGGTGAAGTATGTATTGGTTAAGTAGTGTCTCACCAGGGGGGGTACCCCAGTTTTCAGTCCTTGATGAACCAAGTCTTCAATGATTAGGATGGTGTCAGGTACAGAAACTTTGGTGAATAAGGAAACCACATCAAACCTGACAAGCAGGTCGTCTGGGGACAGGAAAATTCCCTTGATTGTCGATACCAGGTCCGTAGAGTTTAGTACCGCAGAGGTGGGTTTTCCAGTGAAAGGCCGCAGGATTTCAGACAAAAAACGAGCCAGTTTATAGGTGGGGGAGTTGATAGTAGAGACAATGGGATGAAGAGGCGTATCTTCTTTATGTATCTTTGAAAGGCCATATAATCTTGGTGGCCTGGCTGCAGAAGGTTTCAACGAGAACTGTTTGGTTTGATCAATTAATGCGGTTAAGATGTTAAAACACCAAACAGAAACCTTTGCAAGTAATCATGTTCAAAGACAATGCATATACTACCAGAGCATGTTTTTTTGTCTGGAACCACATCTTTTACAGACGGGACCAGATCACAGATTTTATGTACTGTGTTGAATCGGACCTGGATCTTGTGTTTAATCAGGATTTTGGAGATCTTTTTTGTGACCCCAGCAATGTCGGGTAAGGTGATGGTTTTGAAAGGCTCCTCAACAGGATCCTTCTTGATGGTTGGAGCGATGGCTTTGCGGATTGTGTAGTCGGAGTAACCATTAGCTTAAGAGCATGGCGTACGTGTTTGAGTTCACTGGCAATGTGTTCCTGGTCGGAGATGCATTGGGCTCTATGGGGAATTCTTCTGGGATGGATGATGGTGGGAATCCGGTTTTAGGTAAGCATCCGTATGGGTCGCTTTCCTGTAGACAGAGTGACTCATTGAACCATCAGGTCTCCTTTTAATTAGGACATCATGTTCAAAGACAATGCATATACTACCAGAGCATGTTTTTTTGTTTGCATGTTCACAAGTACAAGTGGTTAATGGAAACATTCCTTGCAAAAGGTTTCAGTTTGGTGTGTTAACATCTTAACGCCTATTTTATTTCCAGAAAGGGAAAAAACCCATTCCTATATGGAGGTAATATATTATTCACTGCCGAATGTGCAGATATTTAACATGAATCTGCTTGTCGTAATAGTCTCATGTGACCTGTCATTGAATGGCTATATTGCTAATATGGCTAAGGAGGCATCGAAGGTTGGTTTTCTTATCTGTGCCAAAGGCTTATTGAATGTCTCACAATGATTGCGACTACACAAAGCACAAATTTGGCTGAGGTTAGAATCCTGTCGTCATGTCTGCGGTTCAGCAACCAGTTCCTACCTCAATGCACTGGACATAATTCAATGCAAGCAATCAGATTGACTGATTCTTCAGTACTTACTGATTCATCTACTCGCCGTCAATTCATTTCCTCCTTATAATTCTTCTATCGTTAATACAATGATTACTTAACTTAATAATTCCTCCACCCATGCCGAGTTTAAAAGCCAGATTGTTCGTGTCATCCACACTGTGTTTAACCACCACACTGCAGGTCAAACGACTTGTACATCTCTTTCGTCCCTCACACTCATTGACTTTGGAATTTAATCATTTGGTCCCTTTGCATACATTCTTGTAAACTTGTTAAATTAAAGGTCGGCATTAAATCATGTATTAAACCTTCAAACGTGCTATTTGTTACTGGCCTTTGTACTCAGCAACTGTGCAAAAAGATCTCAAACGCGGAATCAGGCCCGAGGTGACGAACCGGTTGGTACTTGTGCTGCACCCTGAGCACGTCCAGGGGGCTGAGGCCGCTCCTCTGGCCGATGGGAGCTCTAGCTGCTGTCGTGGGGGTAATCGTCTCACTCATGTGATCCGAGGACGAGGCGTACCTGGAGAGGAGATCAGAGTGTTACACACTGGACTTGTGTGACTGGTTACCACTCTAAACCGTTTACCGGTTAGTTCATAGATGTGTAATTAATTATTTACTGTCAACAGCTCGTTTTCAAGTCAAACATATGTTATTGCCAAACAAAAACCTGTTGAGTTTTAATTAGGCATGGGGTAAATCTGATGCCAGATTCTGATTCGATGCTGTTATAGGACATTTTAAGGATTCACTGAATCCAAATCTGTGTGCTACATTGAAGCTGAAACTTTTACAGTCAGTGCCTGCAGGTAGAGAAAGGCACATGTGGCAGCACCTCCTGCCAAACTGCAGTCAGCATGTGGAGTGACATTGCGGATGTCACTGTGTAATGCCGGCCCAAGAGAGGCACGGCGTGCGATGTATTGACATCGCGGGCACCACGTATGTGGGTGCAGTACCGGCCCTAGAGGGGCTCGGTGAGCGCTGACTGGCAGTGCTGAATGGCACCACGCTCTGCGTGCAGTGCCGACCCCTACAGGATAGGGTGTGAGAGTGCCGGCCATGGGTATGGGGTTACTAAGGGCCATGGCACTCTGGTTAACCCCGAAGGACACTTGACCGGTTAAGTCTACACAGGGCCCCCAGGTGGGGGCTAGGGGTGGTCGCGTGTCAGGTCCGAGATCCTGCTCGAGGATTCTCTAAGGTGGGCGTAGCCAAGGTCGGAGCCAGAGGATATAAGCCAGGTCCCAGAGAGGGACCGGCTGCTGTTGTTCATCCTGAAGAATCTACATTCACCAACACGTGGACCGGGACCCAAGCTGTCGTCCGATCTGTCGTAGCTAGTTACGGTGTAATTAGTGTAGTTAGCCTGGTGGTCACGTAGCTAGTTACGGTGTAATTAGTGTAGTTAGCCTGGTGGTTCCACCACTATCACTTGTTATCCGGTTAAGGGGCAGTTACCCCTTTGTGTTGGTATTAATAAATGTGTTGCCTCCTAAGAGTACGTCTGCGACTCAGTTGAACTCACTACACATGCAAAGCTACGTGATTTTTAATATACATTAAATTAAGGCAGGCCTCGACTTACGAACACCCGACTTACGAAGATCTGCACTTACGAACCAGCTCCAATAAGATATTTATCTTTTAACATTTTCTTGGGAACGCGTAATTGCACTTGCAAACTGAACCATGGAACTATTGTGTTCAGCGGAGTGATCCTCCACGAGATGTAATGAGTCAGCCTTGTGCTGGGAGGGAATGTTTTTGCATGTACGCACGCACACGTGTGTGTGAGTGAAAGTGAATCCCCCTAATCTCCCTGTCTAATCTCTCCCATCAACATAGTGCTAATCTGCCATTAACACTGCTGTTGTGCGCATATGTGGGGATGATACCCTTATGCGGTGACGGAAGCTCATTTTATGCTAATCTCTCTCCCTAATCTCTCTCTCCCTATTAACACAACTTACGTGCTTGAGTCCGGGGATGGAATTCCTTTCCAGCTCAGACCCAGCCTGCTTGCCCATCACCACTTAAATAAACTCTTGTTGTAACAGTTATATATATAGAATGTATTTTAATGCTGTGTTATTTACAGCCACATAAGAAAATTTTTCTGAAAATTGGATTGGAAAAACAAAGGCATAACTATAAAGTGAAAAAAAAAACACGAGATAACCTCCAATGGGAACAAACTACAAGAAAGGCAAGGTAGTAATTAATAGTGAAGGCTACAGGATCCATATGAGCAAAACAAACGTCATGTACAAATTCACTAAACATTTGCAGATATTTGTCAGAGGGACCCAGCTAGAAAACATCAGAATTTTTGTACCTGGGACAGTTATTCTATGAGGACCAAGATAATAAAAATAATTCAAGTGGAGAATGAACATGGGCTCGAGTGATTTGGAAAGCCGAGTTTGGTAATGTAACGCAAATAGCCCATGTGCCTAGAGGAGAACGTCTTTCATCAGAGCGGATTACCGGTTACGCATACCGATCAGAAACATGGTCGTTACGGTAACGAAGACAATGGAACTACATCTGAAAATTGTGCAACTCAGAAATAAAAGGTGCATGCTTGGAATAACATTGTGAGACGGATGAAGGAACACAGATTAGAGAACATCATCACATTGGAGACAGAAGTAAGTGGGCTTGGCCAGGACACGCTGCTGGAAGGGATGGTGGCCGGTGGTGGAGGCTCGACGTCCGCCACAAAGATGGGGCGAGGAAATCTGCTCGTGCGCAGAAGCTAAGTGGACTATTACTTCAATGGGCCATGGTTCATGGTGATGGGTAGTGGAGGCCTTTATCCAGAGGTGGATTAATCATGGCTGATAATGACGATGATGAAATGCACTAGAATAGAGTTAGTGTATATTCAATGTCAATTAAATGTACTATAACATTACGCTATAGAGTATATTAATATATTTTAAATGTAGTACATTTTATATTTTCATTGCACAAGAACAATATTTTCTGGCCTGCGCATACTGGACATCTGTGAAAAAGAGCTTCACAGCTGAGGGGGCGTCCATAAATGACGTCACGCGATTTTGGCCGATTTTTTACCCCACCCTCCCCCCCTCGTCACACGGCGTCACAAATGTCTGACCCCCCTCCCCCCCCTAGGTGCGTGATGTCATTTATAGACGACCTCTTGTCGGATTCCTCCAGTCTCCATGACGATTCTGATTACTCGTATATACTGTCTAATGCAAACAATATATACGAGTAATCCACTGCTGGATGAGGGCCTCCCCAAACCATGCAGGTCATAGGGGTTGTTTGGCCATGCTTCACCACGCTTGTACGTGCAAATTGAAGAACGTATGGAGCATAGACATGGGAGCATAGAACCCCAGTACAGTACAACATCGAATTTTGCTCTCCTCCCTTCTGATGCTCACCTATTTAAGTTAACACAGCTCTGCTGATCTTGCGTGGGAGATTTGAGATGTCATAGCTGTCAACTCATGCAGTTTACCCGTATTGTTGTACAGGGAAATTGAGTTTTCAGGTCCATACGGCGTACAGCCGTTTCAAGACGGGCAAAAATATATAATTTTTGTTTGTTTGTGTTTCTCCCTTGTGATGGGACTTTGTAGGATAAACGTTGAGATTTTTAAGAGCACGGCGTGACCAATAAGGTCTAAATTGGTCTGTAAGAAGGTCGGCACTGATTAGGGGTTGGCAGGTATGGAGATGCAGACATTAAGACTGTGATGTGTAAGAGGCTTTCCCTGACCATTGTATTATACATTGTATAATTGCTGTATGACACATTGTACTGTATTATATAGTCAGTAATTAGTGATGTGCGGTGAGGTCTTTGGCTGGGGAGGCACTGGCAACTGTCAGAGCCAGATTCACACACTGGGGGGGGGACGTGGCCTCACGGAGGGGGGCGTGGCCTCACCGAGCGGTGCTCTGTGATGAGGGAGACCGTGCACACCGAGCGGTGCTCTGCAGACTGAAGGAGCGCCGCGCTCATTTCTCAGTCTCGTGACGCGACTCTCACAACTGTACTTAACGTGTAAACATTCTGATGAACAGTCCGTGGGCTATTTTAAATCAATACACACGATGACTTCCAGACAAGGGTCTGTTTCATCACCAGCACCACAAACATGAACTACATCACGTTCTGGGGTCCATCTCACAGGCCTCCACACAAATGTTTTCCAGCAGGATTGCTGAAGCAGGTAACCCTGCGCAGGTTTTACTTTTTGAGACTCATAAGTTTAAGTTAGTTCTGTCACCCAAAGCGCGTTTTGTTTGATTTCTCTAAACCTTGAGTCTATTTACATGCGTGGCCTCGAGACAGATGCCAGTGTTTATTATTTTATTATCCACAATCCTCTAAGAGAGCGCACGATGCTTGTGTGTAACAACGGGCGAAGCGCTGACATTAGTGAAGGCCACACAACCTGTGGAGGCCCACCTGCCGTAGTGCATGATGGAGAGGTAGTCGTAGGGCAGATCTTCTCCAGAGCCACTGCATTCCAGCCGTTTGAACTGCCCTAGATCATCTGCAGGCAGCAGGCACAAGGAGCTCTCACGATTAGAAACAATGCCTTAATGCGGGCATCTTAACACGTTTAATCCTGTTAACGGTTATACCAAGAGCACACACAGATTGTTGTGGTAGTGTTTGTGTCACGTAATTGTGAATCTTGCATTGCGCTATTTAGATGACATTGAAGCATCTCCAGATCAACTGTGTGGAGCGGCGCTTATATCCACTGCTGGCTCTGAGTCAGTGGGGGAAATTCCACATTTCTGTGGTGGACTTCCCATGAAGTGGTACTCGTTACTGATTCTAACGAGGTGATGGACCGAGCGGGACGCTGCTCGAGCGTCGCCGTGTGGAGCGAGCGCCGTGAGTGCGACGCCGCCCAGCCGCATGTGAACGCGCGACCGCACACGCAGTCTGAAGCACAGCCATGCAGCCGCGTGGACACGAGCTCCAGTTACCAGTGGAGCTACCGCCACCTCCATGAGATCACGAGTTAGCTCGACTACGCTGACAATCAACAGACAATACAAGACACATATACAGAGGGAGCTGTGATCATAGAAACCAGCCGAAAATTGAGGCCCGTTGAGAGAAGCACCATTGTCTCGTCACTGGATGTGGTTGCAGTGTGAAACCTGGTCCCCACTACTCGCCCATACCGCTGTGGAGTGCCTAGCAGCACTTATAGACCCCGTGCTGTTCCCTACACGTACCTAATAGGTACAGGATGTATTATAGTGAAATGGTAACAGTACTTCCCGGTCAACCTTACACAAGAGCACAGCAGACTCCTGTACACAGCGGTGCGCAGCTGAGAAGCGGCAAGGGAGAGTAGAGAACCCCTGCAGCCTCAACCCTGTGGCACGGCAGGGGGCGCTGTACGAGCGACGCTCACACCGTGCAGCAGTTGAGCTCACGTGTGAGCTCCTCGTTAAACTGACAATATGCTGTATGTCAGTACAAGGCAGTGATAGTAATGAATAGCACCCCTACCCTGGATGCCTTTCTCACTCTCATGGCACCACTCACATTCCTCGATGTTGTCCTCGTGGACCTTGATGTGCTGGTCGCGGTCGCTGCGGCAGTGCTCGTGGTGGAAGCCGAGCGCGTGCATGAGCTCGTGCAGAACCGTGCCCTTGTCCACCTTCCCGGGCTCCAAGGACACGGACTGAGCCCCTCCCTTCTTGCCCAGGAACGACCAGCTCCTGGGGAGGACAAATCCCATCCACGTTCACGATGACCCCTATGGCTCTCGTGACGTGTGCATGATGAGCCTGCATCGTGACCTTCAAAGTAAAGTATTGTGACCATCGTGGCTGAGTGAAGGTGTTGTATTGAACCGTACGTAGCCAGCCGTGATAATCGCAGGTGCGGGTTAAACGTCAGCTTCTGTACTCCGTATGGGAGTGCACTCTGTGAGGTCCACTCAGTCTGTAATACTCCCTTGGCTTTCTAGGTTTCACTGTGCCGTGACCAACGTGCATTCTGCTCAACAGAATAAAATGCCTTCATGAGATTCGTCCTGCACTGAACAAATCAATGCTGCACTGCAAGTTACTTGTGCAGCTGCACAAGTAAATTACAGCTACATCGTGCATGTGAACACAGGTATTGTAGCACATTAACTGTGCGTATTAAATATATTACATTAAAATACAGTAAACCAGCCATTTTAGCACCAGGTAAGAGCCAATTCTGTTTGCAAGTGAAACCTCAGAAGCTGTAATTCCAGGAAATCCTCCCCTGTTCCACTCTATCCATGGTATGAATCCTCTTATCCTTTGGGCTCCTCCCTGTAATTACGAATTTGCACTTAAATTGGCGAATTTCAATTTTGGAGAATGAAAATATTAGCTGCACTATCATATGTCATATGCAGATCAGGTGGGAAAGTGCATTGTACTACTGTGTGGATCACAGGTCACATGAAGTGATCTCAGAGGTAGTTATGTGATACCACTTCTGTAGCCCATTCTCTAATGCGAAGAGTTGCGCTCCTCTGCAAGAAATCCAAAGGGATACTTTATCTCATGATGCCGAGAGAAAAACTGGGATTAAATTTGCAGAAAAACTTGGATTTAAACAAAGATTGGCAGATATTCTGATTGAATATTTTCCACTGCCATGCCGAGCTCTCTCTTTCTCTCCCCACACGCTCATCCCATGCTCTCTCTCCACGCTCCCCTCTCTCCCCACACCCCCTCGCTGTGTGAACCCTGCCGTTCTCTCCACACAACGATCTCTCTGCACGCCGCTCACTGCTGCTCACCCGTCCAGGGCCTGGAAGTTGATGTAGTCCTCCTGGTTGTCTTTCCGCATGAGCCGGACGCAGGTTTCCTCTGCAAGTTCGTTGACTGCTTGCTGGATGTTCTCCTTGTCATTGGTGCCTAAAGATAATAATCACGTTACATTACAATCACATTACAGTCCACGGCGCCTGTATTATAATCACACGGCACTCGTATTAGAATCGCACTATGCCTGTATTAGAATCCCGCTATACCAGTATTAGAATTACACTGTTCATATTACAATCACACTGTACTCATATTAGAATCGCACTGTGGTCGTATTAGAATTGCTCTAGAATCGTGCACTTTCATTTTGGTTGTGGAGTGGAGCAGGGAATGAGGGAAGGGGTCTTTGGAGACGATGATGGAGATAATGCAGATGATGGGAATGGATGATGTTGATTAATGATGACAGATGATGTTGTTAATGGGTATGATGACAATTATTGATCATGATTGTGCAATAGATGATGGTGATGATGGTGGTGGAAGTTAATATTCGTAAACGAGATGGGGATGATGATGTCTGGCAATAGATGATGGTGATTGTGGAGAGAGCAGCAGGGTCAAGAGAGTGGGCGGGGCGTGGGGAAAGTGGGCGGGGCATGGGGGATAGAGAGAGTGGACCACGGCAATAGAATGGGGGTGATGACAATAATGATGGATGAGGCTTAGTATACAGTAATTATTATGATGGCATTGGTAGCACCAGCGGCACAGAGAGATGGGCAGAGGTAGTCACCGAGAGAAACACAAGGAAAGACACAAAAAGAGAGGGAAAGATACGAAGAGAAACACAGAGGTATGGCGAGACAAAGAGAGACATGAAGAGGTCGGGAGAAAAACTTAAAGATATAAGGATTGAGGTAGGGACAGGTAGGCAGGGATGCAGAGATACTGCCACATGGACCGACGCATATGGAGAGCTAAGAGAGAGACTGAGACACAGAAAGAGACCGAGAGAAAGAGAGTGACAGACATGGAGAGGCACAGAGATAGAGACACAAAGATGAATGGAGTGACATGAATAGAGAATTAAGATAAATGCTGAGAGACTAGGAGACAGAGGTAGAAAAAGAGACTTTTAAACAACTTTTATTGCCGCCAGCAGCAACAGCACTGGAGGCGATTCCGATACGAAATACACAGTCACCAGCAAACAAATAACAAACGCTATAAGTCCACGCGCTGTGGCGCTAAATGCACCGCGCACAACACAAAAGAGAAGTCATCGCGCACGCCATGGCGACGAGCAAGCGCTTCAGAAGGTGAACATGATGGTGCCGTCCATGCTGGTACAGAGGGCTTTTCCGGCTCCCCAGCGTTCCAAGAAGATGTGCACATCACCGACATGTGTGTGGTATGCGTGTTCCAGCCGGAGCGGCAAAGAAGAGGAGAGACAGAGAGACACGGAGAGATGGAGAGGGCTCCATGTGGCGAGCCACGAGTGAGTGATGTGCGGATGGCCTGTGTAGAGCCGGCAGTGCCAGCTCAAGCAGCTCCAGAACGAGGCTCTCACCACAGAGACCCAACCTGAAGCCACAGCTGCCGGCTGTGTGTGGTGCACTCACCGAAACCAGTGCAGACGTCGTAGCGAACGTAGACTTTGCCATCTCGGTGCTTGACCCAGTCATGGCTTCCATCTAGACAATCAACACCCATGCTCAGTATCGCATAAGTGGAGCCTAAACAATCAGGAATCATGCAACACGATCCTCCTTTTTTGTGTAAAAATATACAGATTGGTCAATTGCTTCCCCATTGAAAACATCTCACAATCACACCCATCTCAGAGCAATACAAAGCTTATCAGCGACACGGGTTCAATTCCTCTTCATGGAAGTGTCGATTATATCTATCAGTGCTGTTTGTTACTGGTCACTTGACGTTTTGGGCCTTTAAGCCTGTAGTCAGCTCAACGTGTAAACAAGTTTACAGGGGCTGTTAAAGGATTGAGCTACTTGGCAATGCACAATGGCCTAATTTGTTGGGATTTTTTCGTTCGTATCACTAATTATTACGTGTTTATCTACTGGACCACTGTTGTTAGCTTGCAGTGGTAATTATTATTGGAGTAAACACATTTTACTTGCTTCCAATGTTGCCGACTCGGCACTTCTGGTGTCAAACGTTGCGTCTCTGCTGCCGAGGCAAAGAACGAACAGAAATCCTTGTAGAGAGCCGACTGTTTGGAGTGACGACGCTGAGTGAGGGTCTCGTGGCTCAGAGAGTTTCCCCCAAGACAGACAACCAGCTGCTCTCCTGAAGCCTTTTAGGGGCTTTGTCCCACTACCTACCGGTCATTTTCATGGAGAAGCTGGAATCGCCATTGAGATGAATGGGGGATGCATGTAAAACGTCTAAGTTGTCAACGCAAGCAGATTATTAAAATAAACAGACGAGACCCCCATTAAAAGCATCAGGGAAATCTGGTCATGGATGCAAATGCAGCAACTCAAAATAGCGCAGAAGATGCGGAATAACTAAGTTACCACAACAGAACAATGCATGTCATTGCACTGGGCAGTGAGATACATTGCCCAGTGTGAGGCGTCAACAGAGCTGAGAGTAAACCCACGAACACAAACACGGTGAGGGCGGATGTCATGACGCTCTGACTTTCACATGGCCGAAGCAGTGAGTGGCTCATGAGAACTGAGTGAGAGGGGACGGACGATGGGTGTGGGAGCGACGTGGTATCGCTCCGCGTGCGAGCAGCGCTTGGGCTTGAAAACACGCTGAGACATAAACGTTCATCGTCATCGTCACCACAGCAGCGTCACCCAAGTCTCGTATTTACATTTCGATCATAGTGGTGGTAAAGCGTTGGTATTGAGTGGTTCTTGAAAAACAATATTTATTTTTGTAAAAAACGATTTGTATAAGATTTTGAATGTGTATTACATATTTTTTATGATTCCAGCCACATACGCAAGTATAAATCCGTGGCACACCACGTCGGTGTGAATGTTTTTAAATGAATTATAAAGCTAACCCTCCGTGGTGCACCGCAGATTACAGGATCTTCAGTATGGTCCCGCCATATCAACGTGGATAACTGGAGTTCTGCTTTACCACCATTACTGACAGTAATGCCTGGCACGATGCACGGGCCATTGGCATACAGGTGCACAGGCCTGATCCATCCATTGGTGTCAGGTCCAGGTTCAGAGGTAATGGCCAGTCATTGACAGCACTTCAACGTAGCCTGCGCCGTTCACGTTGCCGACAGTGATTCAACTTCATGCAGAACGGGAACGCTTCAAGTTTTTATTTGTTCATTTGCACTCCATGCAGATGTTAAAACGTTTTAAACTTCATATGAAATCACACTACCATGTAAATCAACTTTCTATGGAGTTTAGCACTGTTCGTTTTAATTAGGTTGTATCGCGCTTGTAAAGTGACTCACTCTGCTGGTTGCGATGGAACCCGAACGCGTGCTTGAGCTCACTAAGCACCACGCTCTTGTCCACCTTGTTGGGCTCCAGGGCGATGGACCGAGCTCCTCCTCCTGCACTGGCACCCAGCGGTGAGGAGTCCCTGATGGGAAACCGCGTGTTTCACAGCGACGTCACTCACTGGCACCTCACAGCACCGGGCACGTTTTACAGAGGCCACGTGTCTAGTGCACCGCACTCTTGCACCAGTTACAGGGATCACTCTATGTGGAGACAGTTATTTTAGTATGTTTCAGTTGTGGGTATTTTTTTACATTTGCTAATGAATAATTTCCGTCTGTAGCAGGGGCTCACAATAAACCTTGCAGAGATAAATGTAAGGTAATTTGAATTGTATTCCAAAGTCGTGTCGCTGTTAGGCATTTACCCAAAAAAATCCAGAAAAACGAATCAAAGGGTTTTTAAAACTCAACGATAAAATTCAACGATAAATAGGAAAGCGTTCTCGGCTAATGCGATGTCACATTCCCTGCACACGCATCCTGATAACGTCATTACATGTGACTTCATGTCATTGCTCGAAAGCTAACATTCATTGTCATCAGTCATGATCAATCAACTGCTGGATGAAGGCCTCCCCAAGTTGCTGCCATCTCTCCCACTCCTGTGATGTCAACAATGCATGGAGCACCTGCACATGCGGTGAATTCACCGCTCCATCTCTGTGGCGGATCTCTCCTTTTCCTGTGTTCCCTCCCTTGGCTGACGCTCGTTGTTATTCTTGACCATCCCTTCTACGACGCGACATACCCAAGTCCACTCCCTTATCTTGACTGGCGCTCCACTCCCTCAGAAATGATTCCCTTCTCTCTGGGTCTCCTTCGCCTGAGATTTAAGAATGACCTTTCACTTGGCTATCTGTGGCCAATGCACAGCATGCAGGATACCGGATTGGGCAGTGAGCTGCACACTCGACTGTCCAGCCCATTCCCCCAACACCGCCTCATTGCTTCCTGCTTAGGATTTCCGTAATGGCGTAGACATTTCAGACTGACGACTCTGGTCTCTTTGCTGTCGTGAAACATCTCGCGTGTCACATGAAGGCTCACGTGTCACATGAGAAGGCTCGCGTGTCACAAGAGAAGGCTCGCGTGTCACATGAGAAGGCTCACGTGTCACATGAGAAGGCTCACGTGTCACATGAGAAGGTTCGTGTGTCACAAGAGAAGGCTCGCGTGTCACATGAGAAGGCTCGCGTGTCACATGAGAAGGCTCGTGTGCCCCCTCCTTGCTGCCATGAGTGAGTACGATGGAGAGTTCAGTGCAGTGGGGATGGCGAAGGCGTGGAAACCTCATGCTGTCTGTGGTGCTACAGTGCTTACTGTGGTGAAATCTGTGGTGGTCTGAGTTGCTATCTGTGGTGCTATCTGTGGTGCTATCTGTGATGCTGTCTGTGATGCTGTCTGTGATGGTGTGGTGCCAACTGTGCTGCTGTCTGTGGTGCTATTCGGGTTGCTCTCTGTGGTGCTGTCTGTGGTGTTATCTGGGCTACTATCCAGCACGCTGTGCTCATGACGACAAAGGCTTAGGTCTACAGTCGTGGGGCAAAGGGAACGCAGCAGCATGGGGAGGCCCTGGCTGCTATAGAGGAATTGTGGAAGTGAGACCAAGGCTCTAGGTGCTGAGAGCCCCGTGTGAGCTGCCTGTGCCAGGGCTACGTGGAACAAGACTCGCGTAACGCCCGGGAGGCGGATACGCACCTTCCCAATGCTCTGAAGAAAAAGTAGTCCTCCTGGAGGTCTTTGGGAATCATTCTGATGCACGTTTTCTCAGTCAGCTCGTCAATGGCCTGCTGAATGGCTTTTCTGTCACTGGCATCTGAAAGGTGAATGTTTTGCACACAGTGACGGCAAGCGTGAGTTGCATTACCTTTTCAAGAAATCGAGACGCACAAACCACAAGGCACTATTCACCACTATGCTGAGTCATCGTCATAATTTATCGTGGTGAAATCCATTTCATATATTTGATCCTCTAAGCTAGGGGGGGGGAACGTCCGGCCCACGGGCCGTATAAGGCCCGCAAAATCATTTGATCTGTTCCAGCCATCACATTAGGGGTGAGTTAATTCAATATTTGACCAAATATAACGGGCTAATTTTAAGTTGATAATTTTGTATGGCCCACGAATTGTGTTATAAATTTCCAAATGGCCCTTGGCAAAGAAAAAGGTTCCCCACCCCTGCTCTAAGCATTCGAATCTCCAAAAATGAGAAAGGAAACAGAAGACTGAAACCAGTCAAGACGCATTGAGTAAGAGGAGCATAAAAAGAGACAGATGCGAGACTGAAGATTGAACACAGATGCTTGTAAAATAATTACCGAAATAATGAGAAAATAAATCAGAGAACCCAACACAAACATGAGTGAACAAATCATCCAAGCAATGGGAGCACAAAAGCAGACAAAAGGAGGTTGTGGGAAATTCACAAATGGGAGATGATGCAACCATAACTCATGATAGAGACTGAATCTTAAACATAAGTGTACGAATATTTTCAGTAAAAATGTATTTCGATCAGGAATCAGACCATCTCAGATAAAGAGAAAGAAGTGTCAGATGTTACACTGGAAGACGTTAACTCTGCCCTTCACAATATGGCAAAGGAGAATGCTGCTGGACCAGATGGTCTAACTGTGGACATCATCAAATAAGCGGGACTTCACTGCTTTAACAAAAAATAGCGGACGTGTTCACAAAAGATTTGCACAGGAATAAAATAACACCATTATAGAATGATGAATCCGTAAAAACGAATTGAAAATGACAGACCCACATGCCTCTTATTGCACATCTATAAATGTTTCACAAAGATCATTGGGAACGGTTTCTCTACCACATCTGGAAAAGACCAATCAATTTAAATTACCACTGTGCCTCGCCTGAGTAGACTATCAAAAAGCATTCAACTCCGTAGTAATTGATGCAGTGATCCAAGCTCTCACAAACTGAAGCCGAGATGAAAATATTTAAACCGGTTCCAATAATAGCCACACTAAGGTTACATGAAGAAAATGGCAACATACACAGTACATGGGGAGATAGGAAGCTGACACATTGACCACAGTTATTCACAGTGGCATTGCAATATATTTTCTGAAAATGTAAATGGAGAAGAAAATACATAAATATTAATGAATAAAACATCTTAGAATTGCTGATGACACATTCATTAAGAGGTCCAATAGGAATTACATACAGGAATGCTACAATGTTGGGTTCAGGATAAATATGAGAAAAACAAAGGTCATGTGCAAATAATTTGCTAAACAATCCACAATATTTGTGCACGAACTGATCTCATCGCTCCATCTCTGCAGTGGCGGGGTCCTCTACTTTGACTGCCATTACTTCACCAGCCCGGTCCATCAGCCATCATCCCACTTACTTTTTCACAGTAAAATGATGTCTATAAGCTGCATTTTTCCATGATCTGTGTTCCTATTTTCATCTCTCGTTGCAATTCCCCACATGAATGCTTCTCTGTGCACTTTTCAGCTTTTGTTCCATTTTCTGTCAGGCAGATCATTATACACTGCACTCCATCCTCATATTAATCTCATCTTCATTTAAATACTTAAATCCTAATTTACTTTCATAAGTGCTCGTCTGCCGTGTTTTAAAATTGTGTTCCTGAACCAATTTTAATTTTTTTATGAAATTTGCTGTACGTGACTTCAAGTCTTAACATAAAATAATCCCTATGGGAACCTCATTTGCCAGTAAAAAAATATAATTGGTTTTTTACCCTTCTATCTGGAAACAAAACTGACACCTTTTTACAAGGAGTCATGTTTGCATAGACCGCAATACCTGCAGTCATAATACAAACAAAAGACATAACTCTGATAATGTGCACTGTCCTTGAAGTTGATTGGTCCACACCCGAGACAGCTTTCCTTAGAGCCTAGTCTCACATGGGTTGGACCAGATGACGCCAAAAGGCGCACCATGTGAGACTAGGCTCTAAGGAAAGCTGTCTCGGGTGTGGACCAATCAACTTCAAGGACAGTGCACATTATCAGAGTTATGTCTTTTGTTTGTATTATGACTGCAGGTATTGCGGTCTATACAAACATGACTCCTTGTCTTCTTGGTTCTTTCGGTAAAGTCACGTAGAAGGGAAGTAATAAAATAATAAAAATAAAACATAATAAAACAATTCTCACGACGTTTCGGCCACAACGCAAGCAGCCGTCCTCTTCACCTGAGGACGGCTGCTTGCGTTGTGGCCGAAACGTCGTGAGAATTGTTTTATTATGTTTTATTTTTATTATTTTATTACTTCCCTTCTACGTGACTTTACCGAAAGAACCAAGAAGATGAATCCCTGCAGTCACGAAAGCTTTAAATCGAAATGACTCCTTGTAAAAAGGTGTCAGTTTTGTTTCCAGATAGAAGGGTAAAAAACCAATTATCATAAAATAATCCCTTTAATTCCGCTTCACTGGTTATGACAACACTATCAGCATATCTAACATGTATAATGCTTTCTCCATCTATGTTTACGAGTTTAATTTGCTAACACATGTTCAGATAATATATATTCGGATGTTGTGGTGAAAAGCCTTGATAAGGGTGTATCTTCTTCCTGGACTCCTCCTCTCGTCTGTATGTTGTTGCCCTCTGCAGCAGTTTCCATGTAGATTGTGTAAGAAATCTCAGTATGCGTAAGTGAAGATGAATCCCCTGGCCCCAGGTAGCGTCCCAAAACAGAAAACTCGGAGCTCCAGGATGTGTCTCCCCAGCCTGACGGTGCACACTGCGCTCACTGAAGGCGATGGAGACGTTGTAGGGGATGTACACCTTGCCACTCTGCTCGGGCCACAGTTTAATTTCTCCTTTAGGATCTCCTGCAATGTCTCCAGTCTTGTCAAACTCCTTTCCTTCTATAAAAACAAAGAAAATACATTCTGTAATGCAAATAAAAACATCATAAAATGTAATTTGTAACTAATGGCTACGTTACAAAATGCATTGGAATATAGCTACTGTACCCACATCCAAATGATAACATCTTCGTGAATGATAATTGGTTTTTTACCTATTTATCTGGCAACAAAACTGACACCTTTTTTTACGAGGAGTCATGTTTGCATAGACCACAATACCTGCAGTCATAATGCAAACAAAAAACATAAACTCTGATAATGTATGCACTGTCCTTGAAGTTGATTGGTCCACACCCGAGACAGCTTTCCTTAGAGCCTAGTCTCACATGGGTTGGACCAGATGACGCCAAAAGGCGCACAACTCAAAGACAATGCACCATCAGAGTATGAGAGCTCGGGGTAAGCATTTACACCATTGGTACCTCATTTGCCAGTAAAAAATATGATAATTGTTTTTTTACCCTTTTATCTGGCAACAAAACTGACACCTTTTCTACGAGGAGTCATGTTTGCATAGACCACAATACCTGCAGTCATAATGCAAACAAAAAACATAACTGTGATAATGTATGCACTGTCCTTGAAGTAGATTGGTCCACACCCGAGAAAAAAACAATTATCATATTTTTTACTGGCAAATGAGGTACCAATGGTGTAAATGCTTACCCCGAGCTCTCATACTCTGATGGTGCATTGTCTTTGAGTTGTGCGCCTTTTAGCGTCATCTGGTCCAACCCATGTGAGACTAGGCTCTAAGGAAAGCTGTCTCGGGTGTGGACCAATCAACTTCAAGGACAGTGCATACATTATCAGAGTTATGTTTTTTGTTTGCATTATGACTGCAGGTATTGTGGTCTATGCAAACATGACTCCTCGTAAAAAAAGGTGTCAGTTTTGTTGCCAGACAAAAGTGTAAAAAAACAATTATAATATTTTTTACTGGCAAATGAGGTACCAATGGTGTAAATCTTCGTGAATGTGACAATCTTTTCGGGTGGTGGAAGGCTAATAACAGTTTTGGCATGTAATTGCAATGTGTCCTCATCCAAAAACAAACATGGATTATTATATCATACTTGCTTATACTCTGCTAACTGAATAATGAGGGAATCAATCGGTAATCAGAAATAAAAGGGCAGGGCTACTTGCTCCTTGCTCGCGCGGCTGCACAAAACGAGGTGAATGATACATCATCTGACCCACATGTAGCCCTGCCATTTTTGTTTCTATGTAATGAGGAGTCCTGCAGCTCAGAGGACAGAGCCAACTTGCAGAGCTGCTGTCAGAAATGTGCAATATAGCTTGATCGTAATAAGTGAAATAATTTTGTGAATGTACTACCCAAATCAGCCTGCAAGGTGTAAAGTGTACACGTTAGTCCTACACTGACAATGCAGTGATATTTAGTTTAATGGGAATAGACTGCAGCCTTTGTTCATATTTTTCATGAAAGAAATTAACAAATATTTTTATAATTGAGAAATAGTACTCGAATTAAAATAAAGACATAACAAAACTGTATTGCTATATCAAATAATAATGTTAAATAGCAGAGTAGTTGGCAGCTCCATTATTAAAAACATAAAAATTGTCAATCAAATCTGCATTTAAACATATAACGTGTTGTGCACACACTGCACACATGCAGAACGTTCAAGCACTCTGGGTAGATGCATGCAGGTTTTTTTTTGTTGGGGTCTTGTGGCAATTCTGCAGTCAAATTAACAAATACATTATATTTAGAAAAAATCTTACCTCCGGCAAGTCCACGTTCTGCTAGAAGCAAAACAATCTTATACCTCAAATTTAGCACCTGTGATCTTGACTCATCCCATGTTGGACACTCAAACATCCTCTGCAAAAGTGCTATAAAGGCAGAAGACACAAGTGAGACAATAACATTCCACAAGAAGTAACGTTATTTAAATACATAGAAATTGATTGTTGTTGTTTTGGAGTAACGTCACAGCTCTCAATTGATGATAAAATTGTGTGAATGAGGCTTGTTTTTGTGGAGGTGATAGGGTTAAAGAAAAATACACTTGTATGCTCATGTATACATCTGTGTGACCAACATCAAAGTAAGATGAAGGGTGACAGACCAGACTCGTAACAAATTGGCAGCCAAGGCAGAGTTCGTGCCTGGGAAGGTTACCACCACAGAGATGGGCCAAAGAAATCAGCTCAAGTGCAGGATTTAGATGGATTGTGACATTTTAGGACCATGGAGGCTGGTGACATCAGGAGGCATTGATCCAGGTAGGCAGTGGCTGATGGTGATGATGAAAGCTTAATCAGGCTTCAACATAAAATGTAGATTTTAAGGATTTATTCAACGTCTTTACCTCTCCACACAGAACATTTCTACATTTTCTGTTCAAGAGGCACTAATGATTATGTTGTAACATCGGTTTCTAGTGATGTGTGTATTTTGTTGCCATCTTGTTGGGGTCACATGATGTGGTGTGATGACATCTTACACCTGCGTCTAAGAGATAGTTCGTGTGCAAGTTGTTACTTTTTGCTTAGTTCTGAGGCGGAAAAGGCCAATGATTAATGTAGTAATTTTTAATTGTGAAAAAAATGTATCTTGACGCAGGATACCATCTTTGGATTACAGTAAAAGTCAAGCTTATGAACATATTTTATGTCTTGAGCTCCCTTTCATGATTTAATTACAAATTGTAATACAACTAATCATGTGATCGTCTTTGATCATTTAAACCTAATAGGATGATTCACTATTATATGATTACCAATTGGAAATTAATGTATGATGAAATTGCATTTGTTATTGTTGCATAGCACAATAGTGTGGACGCCTTTGTTCAACCACATTCATCTGCTCACGTTCCAAACAACCATGTTTTAAAGAATCATATGGGTCCTACCAGATGTATCAATCCTTGCTATTGTAATGACCGAAAAATTACCCCAAGCTATATGCAGCCTAAATGGCTATTTCAAAAGAAACAATGGTCTCCGGTTGGAGTAAAGAGGCCTCCACGGTGATTGTTTAGGAGGCAGACTTTAAAGAGATTGGAGAATAAGGGGGTTGAACGGGAGAACAAAAAGGACCCGTTAAAGGGAAAGGACAGGGATTGACTAGAGGTAAAAACAAGGACAAGAAGTCTTCTTCTTGGTTCTTTCGGTAAAGTCACGTAGAAGGGAAATAATAAAAATAAACATTAAAATACAATTCTCACGACGTTTCGGCCACAACGCAAGCAGCCGTCCTCAGGTGAAGAACAGGTCGGTCAGACGCTGTCTTTCCGACAGACCTGTTCTTCACCTGAGGACGGCTGCTTGCGTTGTGGCCGAAACGTCGTGAGAATTGTATTTTAATGTTTATTTGTATTATTTTATTATTTCCCTTCTACGTGACTTTACCGAAAGAACCAAGAAGATGAATCCCTGCAGTCACGAAAGCTTTAAATCGAAAAGGACAAGAAGGTTCGAGAAAAAACGGCTGAGGGATTTATAAGGAGAGCACGAGGAGTGTCGAGGTTCGGAGGAAGATACAAGCTGGAAGACAGTCACGAAGCTTATGGTACCTTATTGTGTAATCATAGTAGGGTTCTTCATTGTGTACTAATAAAAGTGGGTCTTCTTATATTCTTGTCATTGGAGTTATTACACGAGCAATAAGCCAGTGAGAGTAAAACTGGATTCATTACTCAACCAAAAAAGTGCAACTCTTCTTAAATCGACTCAATTTTAATGACCCCACCATTTACTCAGGAAAGGCGTTAAGGAGATTCATGTATAGTGAAGGACCAACACGAAAACACCCTGATAAATGCTCTAAGCATAAACAGGAATTCAAATCCTTTTACAATCCTGTGATCGACGGACAACTCCACGCCTCCGAATGGAGAGGAATTCCTGCATAAAATAAACCTTCAGCTTTCACACAAATTGAACTCTATACCATACTACATTGTGTACATTTCATTTTTGTTCTATTTTTATGAGTCAGTGTCTATGTTTTCTCTTGACGTTTTGGCAGGTGATATGCAGCTACGACAAACTCTCCTGATTGCAGTGCTTCTCGATATTTTTTATTCCAGAGAACACTTTCCCACGAGGCGGTGCAACTCCGTGGTGACTAACAACGCCCGCAAGGCCCATCCCGTGGTGTAAATCCCAACAGCGCCCACACGCCAAACAGTGATCCTGACAATAAAATAAAGCACTAGCGTGGGGATTGTCCTGCACAGCAATGCTTCTCAACCAATGTACCGCAGCAGTCAGGTAAGCCGGGGAATTGTGGGAATTATATTAAAGAGGCCCCCCCTCCCCCCCCAACAATGCGCTGTCATCCGTGTGCTGATTGGCTGCAGCCAGCGCTGGGGTGGGGAGGAGGCACGGGGAGCCCGGTCCACGGGAGGGGGCACGTGGGGGAGGAGCCTTAGTTTCTCATGAGTTGTGGTACTTTGTGGTAATCATTAGAATAGATTTATTTTATTCTGCGTGCTACAACGATGGAGCAAGCTTAAAAGTGTGCTGTGGAATGGAAAAAGTTGAACGGCACTGCCATATAGTAATCATAAACAAATAGCATCATGGTTAATGGTCGTAATCGTGAATAAATGGCGTAAAATATGTTCGCAAACAAATTAATATATCTGTAGAAGGGAACAGGTGGAAACACTCTAACGTAGGTATGGAGGGGTTATTGAGGGCGGACTGGGACAAGATGCTGTAATGATGAAACAAGCGTAAATGAGAGTAGGTTGGAGTGTTTTTGCAAAACTGAACGTAATATTGAAAATCAACGTATCAATGCGCTTAAAAAGGAATACTTTTAAACAGTGCATATTCCTGTTATTAAATATAGATAAAAAAATGAAAATTCATGAATAATAACTCAAAAAAATCACAAAGCATGGAAAAGTGCATGCTTGAGATTACAGTACATGGAGAGACATGACAATGAGAAGTGTTGTTTCACGATGGCTTAGAATATCAATGAGGTGGCAGCAAAGGAGGGAACACGCCTAGAGGATGTCCATTATGGCAATGGAGTGATGATATTAGCTTACGTGCAGGAGCTAAATGTATTATCACATTGCAGAGCCTGTAGGAAATGGTAATGGCTTGGAGTTGTATGTATGTTGAACTTCTTTTGCACCGTACGTAGCCAACCGTGCTTATTGGAGGTCTTGAAGAAAAATAAACTAAACACAAAAAACAGTTCTAAAGAAATTCGTTTTCAATCTAGATTTAAAAGTGCATCGCTCCAGTGGCTTCCTAATATCGGAAGGAAGAGCGTTCCGGACGGCCACAGAAGCGCATCTGAAAGCACGAAATGCAGTGACTGTCTATTTTCGATGGTTAGCCAAAAGCCGCTGTGAGGATGACCGGAAATAACTTGATGGTTTATGCTCCAAATGAGATCAACAAGGTATTGTGCTTCATTTGTGTCGAGCACGTTGTGTATAATGAGTGCGGCCTTATAATGTATCTTGCAGTACCCGTCATGACACATGCCAAAGAATGTTGCGCACACTGCAGCTTGGTAATGTTTTTCCAGGCGTCCCGTAGAGTAGTGAGTTGCAATAATTGAGCCTTATCGATACTATGCTACACGCCAGCATGTTGGTTATCCATAATAGAGGTGTTTAGGGTTAGATCACGAAGGTGCCACATTTGGGTCTCGAGTGAGGTGTTTATTCTGGACGTCTGCATTGTTCCACTCTGTTCTCCAGCGTTTTCTCTGAGACGGTAGCCTTCTCATATTCACCTGTTACGTACTTTTGTGTTATCTAAAACAACTAATACCGTCATCTAGGTGAACTGCACGTCGTTAATTTGAATCTAAATATCAGTAGGAGGGATGCAGAGGAGGGAGATAAAGGAGAGAGGTGAGGGAGGGAGATAGATGATGGAGGAAGAGATTGAGATGAAAGGCAATGATAAAGTAATGGGACGTGAAACAGAGAGGAAAGAGAGAGTAAATCATAAAAAGAAGAGCAAAGGAAAGTGACAAGCAGTGGGAGGAAGATTAGGCAGAGGCAAGTGAGATTGAGAAGGGAAATGGAGAGATGATAAAAAGGGGTATGAGGCCAAATGGGGATAGAAACAAGGAGATAGGGGAGGGAAGTAGGTGAGATACAGTGGATGGAGGAGAGTTTGTTTTTTGGTAAGTTAATTGAAGGTGGAGGGGTGCTCAGTCCCTCCGACCCATCCAGAGTCGCCGTTGGCCACTGTGGTGGCTGCGAGCGCCATTAGGGGAACAAGGACAGATTTCGTATTCATATGAATTATCAGAACACTTGTTAACTTTTGTTTATCCTCGATCTGCCTGTTCCCATCCTTTCCCCAGGTGTACACCATCATGACATATAAATGTCCTGAAAAAAAAACAAATATTTGGTCATACTGCATTGGCGGCGGTGCATTACCACAAATAACAACTCAACACATTTGTCAATAGCACTGCCTTCAAAGTCTATAACAGGTGACATGTCCAGTAATGATCCATTTTTATAGCACATTAAACATGGTATGGAAGGTCATGACCTGAAACATCACTCATTATATTTCCTCTTAAGGCAGTCTTATTGATGATGGTGTAAGGACAGTACCGGGCCTAGTGGCCGTAAATGATTGCAGCGATGAGGACAGGCAGGGACAAGTGAGTTAACTGGGTGAGGAGTCAACACGGGGGTAGAGATTAAACCCCCAGGGTGTTATAGTGAGGCAAAGGAGAGAGTTCAGGAAAAGGAGGTGGCAGAGCCGAGGGGAAATAAAAGGCAGCGCGGAGCAGGGTTCGGGGCTGCTGTGGGGATTCAGGGTCCGGACCGCCGTCGCTGTCATCACGGTGGATCGCCCTCATCGTCTTGGAAGGTATATATCTTCGCCGTGGCTACTACAGCTACGGCTCCTATATAGTCAGTCAGCTATATAGTGAACGTCGTGTAGCAGCTACATAGAGTCACCCAGTTGTATATAGTCAACCTGCGTCCACCTGATAACATGTCATCGAGTTGGGTGGACTGTAATATAAAATAAATCAATATAACTTAAGCAAGACAGCGTCTCTGAGTGCTACATTACAATTGATTGAGTTTTTGTCCCGTATATAGATTATTTTAAGATACAACTTGAATCACTTTCCAGGAAAACAGAATAAAACAATCAACATACCTGATCCGCCCTCCTCCATAAATACTTTGAACAGCATCTGCTTCTCTTTCTCAGGGCGGTCTTGAGACAGCATGTCCAGCAGGCTCTGCAGGCGGGGCAATGAGACGTCATACCTGCCAAGCACACACAGGCGGCACGTCACACAACAGCCCTTTACAGCTGAGCTCCACAGACAGCATTACAATCAAGTTCTCTACATGTGGCACTAATGAGCCATTTCAAGTGAATAAAACTCACCGTGTAATCTGATGGGGCTAATGGGTAACAAATCAACAACGAGCAGACATGAAGTAATGGAAAGTACAATTTGGTTATGTCCATCAGCCTATGATTCTTCAGGATTTAAGTAGGCGGGATATTAATAACTGTATTTCATATAGCATCGAGATATTAAGAGCATCTCAATACACTGTACAAGCACATACATCTATACTTGTGTAGTGACTGACTCATAGACACTAAGAGTAGGAGGCACTCTGTTTATTAACAGCCTTAACAGTTCACACTTTAGCAACGACGGTTCCAGTCAGGACAGCTGGTAGGCTGCCTGACTGGCGACGCCGAGATGGTGAACATGGAGACTACGGTGAAGACTCCACCAGCACGCCGGGGATCCCACTCCAAACGACAGCCCAGAGGTCCCCTCCAGGGGTCCCTCTTATACTGTCAGCGTGGCCTGGCTCTGCCCCGGCCACGCCCCCCTTCTGGAACCTACTGGCAGGTTCTCGATCAGCCCCTTCCGTAACTTTTCCCCTAGATCCCTCTCTGGTCTATCACGTGACCTGATGTCAGTCAGGGCTGCTGTAGCTGCAGATCCCCTTCCCTGCCAGCAGCCAGCGCTATGCTGCTTAGTGACCGATTCTATGTCACTACACTTGTGAAAAGGAGTTCCAGCTGGATGAGTCTTGAACTTTGTCCTGAATACATTTTCCGCACAGTGCATCATACATCAGGGAATTACTCTGTTATGTGCCTCAATCGCCCTGCTACACCTCATTTTATTTCCTTCCCCATATTTCCTAGAGCTTTCCATGACTCTCCACCAATCCCATTCATTTATCCTAACGGATTCCCAACCGACCGCTCATTTCCATTTCGTTTTCCCTGACGACCAATCTCATTTGAATGTTCTCCACCAACAAATCCGATTTTGTGTGCCCTGCGTAGGCTCCCCGTGATAGCTCACGATTGAGAGTCGAGCGAGCCGAGTGTGTATGAACTTATCCCTTAATAAGGTTTACCCCTCAGCATCTCTTACACATGTAATAAACAATAAAACTCAAGCAAAAAAAACCACAGGTTGGGCAGTTTGACCAGCAGTGACACACAGAGCACACCCATCTCAAAACACTATCCCGACGCAGTGAGTGAACGTACTCTTATGTGTAATCAGAGACTGATGCAACACCATCTCTCATGAATGCAGCCAGGGAAAACCATGGGAAAGGCGAGAATTGTATAGGGGTGGTTAGGCACAGATGTCGAATAATGATGGGATTCGGAGAGTATAAAGTCTACAGTGGAGGAGATAAGGAAGGTCCAAAGTCCGGACTTGGAGAGGAGGGACCCAGGCAGTATGTGACGCAGCCAAGTTCCTGCAGCCTCTTGAAGAGCTTTTCTCCAGACACCTCGTGATTGGGAGTGGGTTGGTGCAAACAGCCCAAGAGAGAGCAGCTCCTCACCGGCAGATCTCCATCAGTTCCTTGATGAGGTTCCTGAGGGGGTCCGTTTTCTCCTTCCACTCCAGCCCTGTCAGGGCGAGACGCGGACTCCAGTCACGCGTTTACACAACGAGGGTTCGTCCACTTTACGATGCGTTACTTTGGTCTGCACGTCACCCTGGTCCCAGCTTAACAGCAGCTATAGGGGGAAGTTACTCTGCATTTTACCTCAAACACAAAATACACTGCAATGTGATGCTGGAGCAGCATCGAGTGCTTTGCTGAGAGCGAGGAGGCGCGGGCATTCATCACAACGGGGGTCTCCCTGGAGGGGAGTGCAGCCACCAAGGCAGCCGGCACCGCGTGGCGTGAGCGTCACGGCAGCCATTACCTCTCTCCTTGGTTTCCTTGTCCAATTCTTCTTTTGTCTTGACAGAGGAAACACAAACACAGCGGTCACATTATTCTGTCAACAGCAGAACTTGTAACCAGCAGTGTACACCAGTTAACGAGAATACATATGTAACGTTATTACTACAGTTATAATGGTAATTTACTGGACACAAACATAGAGCAGTGATTAAAATGACTCAACTGTAGCTACATTACATATTGGACACTTTCTAAACACCACGACTATAGCCGGTCAACTTTAACAACCTGGCATGCGAATGGAGTACTGGGTAAGGTATTGCTCCACTTAATATCCTCTCCTCCAGTGAAAATATCCTCAATGGTTTATAGTGTAATGTGGAATTTTTTATATTTACTATCATTAAAATTGAATATATTACAAAATAATACGCCAACAAACATTTATAACTACAATATAATATTACTAAATATGATATCCAGTAGATTGTTTTAATTACCTGAAATTGAATGTCACTATCTTACAAGTTTAGAAAAAAACACTAAAGCATATAACACATTGACTAAACATATAGCGAGTGTGTTTTACGAAAACGTGTGCCTGTGTGTAAGTTCTAAAATGTAGCTGTTCTATTTTTGTGAATGTTTTTTTTGTTATTTATGAATGTTTCTATTTATTTAAGCCGAGACTGGTGAAAGCTCCGTTGTCTGCATTAAATTCCACCGAGTCAAATGCCTTTCCATGGTCTACAAATGCCTTTTCAATGTTTTCCGCACCTCTGATTTGCATAGTTGGCTATGTACAGTGTGACAGAAGTTCAACATACGAACATACAGGTATGAAGGTAGAGGGAATTCTTGAGCATTTTACAGAATATGACCTATGGCATGTATTACAGGAACATTATAATATATTTTTCTAAAATTGTATTTGAGAAGCAAAAGCCAAAATGTTGTTATTATTATATATACGACATTTTTGGCAGTATCAAACATGATGAAAAATAATAATAGGTTTTACCCTTTTTGGTAATAAAACAGGCGCTGAGATGTTCAAACACCAAATAGATACCTTTTGCAAGGCATCAAGTTTGCATTATCCACACGTACTTGTGGCAAACAAACATGCATTGTCTTTGAAACTGATTGGCCTACACCAGAGACAGCCTTCTGTATGGCCTTGCCTTTCATCATTGCTTTGGACATAACCAGTTTGTATGGGGTGTTGAAGCTATTGGAGGAAAATGGAGAACCCAGAGGAACGAATAAAAACTCCACATTGAAAGTTAGGAATCAAACCCAGGCCCTTCTTGCTGCGAGGTATAATTGTGACTTCTGCACCACACTGTAGAAAATATTTTCAATCCCAAATTTGCTGATGACGTTGTGATGATGACAACCAATGGAAGTGAAGTACAGGGAATGACAGAAGAACCTGATGAGGAAGGCTGTGAGTGGTCAAGAAAAATATGAGCAAACCAAATGTCATGTGCAACAAGTTCCCTAAACCACTGGAAACAGCTGTTGGAAGAAAACAGACCAAAGTAGGAACACCTAGCACAGTTATTGAAGGTGAATTGGGATCAACATGATCTAACAAAGTGGCAGACAAGAGCAGGTTGCAGAGCTTCTAAAAGCATGAATTGGACCATGAAAAGGACCATGCAACACCAATCTGCCTAAAGAAGAATGGTGTTAATCAGTGGATATTATCTGCTATGACTTGTGAACCAGAAAAGTGGACATTGACAGACAAAATGTAACAACATGGAAGGGTGTATGCTTGCAACTCCATTCCGATACAGAAAGGGGAACAGGAATTACAAAACACACGTGGACTGTTAGGAAGAGTGGGTGGGCTGATGTGATGGCCGGTGAGACGAATGGTGGAGTGGCAGCTGGTGGAGCGAGCGCGCCCAAGAGGACGTCAAACAGAGAGATGGAGCGGTAGAGTCAGCTGGTGTGCAGCTGTGAGGTGGATTGTAGCATCTTGACCGAGAGAGACTGCGGCAGCTTGGCAAGGCCTTCACGCAGCAGTGGATAGATGATGGTTGCTGATGGTGACCAAGTATCAAACCACACTTTGTCTCCAGTTGGCATGAGACTGATAAGCGCTTATCAGCAGATGTTTTCAAATTGTTAAAAGCTTTGCATTACAAAATGTTTACTGTTCACGCTGTTGTCTTTACTGCACTGTAAAAGTACGGAGCTGCATAGGGAGCCACAGAGTTGAATGTGGGAGCAACAGCTGTGCTTGGAAGCAGAGCGTGGGAACCTCTGCTGCACCGCGTGGTTGGACGCTGTCCCGATGATGCCATCAGCAAATAGGAGACGTTCAGAGTCTCTCTGTATTTATTTATTCCTCTGTTTTTATCCAATTCAGGTTTTGGACAAAAACAGCTTCAATGTTGCTGTAAAGAACTGTGTTGAATGCCTCTCCCCTTGTATGACTACCCTTCTCGTGTGTGTTTGAGTAACACCTCTCTAAGCTGGACTCAAGTCAGCCACGATTCAGGTCGAGCTACAGAGGCTCTCTGAACATAAATAAATAATAATAAAAACCAAAAGTTCTGACTGCAGCCCTGTCCATACACTTGTGATCCTGCACGCAAGATGATGCAGCATTCTGCAGTGAATTACAACTTTAAATCACTCATCGAGTAGGAGTTAAATTTCGATTTAAAACTTTCGTGACTGCAGGGATTCATCTTCTTGGTTCTTTCGGTAAAGTCACGTAGAAGGGAAGTAATAAAATAATAAAAATAAAACATAATAAAATAATTCTCACGACGTTTCGGCCACAACGCAAGCAGCCGTCCTCAGGTGAAGAACAGGTCTGTCAGAAAGACAGCATCTGAGTGAAAACCACCAGGCTTGGCAGCGTATATTTAAGCTGGGTTGGAAGGGGAAGAGCGCCCCGACAAAGGAATTCGCATATCAAGAGGAATCTAGCATACCCATGGGAAATGCAGGTATGCTACCAGTACCACTTATGCCCGTGCATTATGCAGGAATAGCAGCATCAAAGGGGAGGGGATATGGGAAATGCAGGTATGTGATTAGTACTACTTATGCCCGTGCATTATGCAGGATTAGCAGCATCAAAGGGAGGGGATATGGGAAATGCAGGTATGTGATTAGTACTACTTTTGCCCGTACATTATGCAGGATAAGCAGCATCAAAGGGAGGGGATAGGGGTAGCATTAATAAAGGGAAGGAGTGTTAATAGTATGTAGCTGCAGTAACTAAAACCACCACGTAAACAACTAAAGTATAAACTACATAGTATCATCAGTATACTAAATATACTCTACAATAAGCTGAGTTACTAACAGTAAGTAATACATTACAATTCTACGTCGTAAAAAATATAATATGCTTCCATCTAAACTTTATTCTCTTACATCACACGAGTCTACACCGTACTATATATTGCCATAGACAAACCCAACATTAAATTATATACTGTATTGCTATAAACCACCCTAAACCTTATACATTGTAATATTACACTATATATTCTACCCACCCTAATGTATATCACACTGCTGTATATTCACTATACAATTACGATACTATATACTACTTTGTACATTGTATTAAGCATATGAATTTTTCAATTTAAAGCTTTCGTGACTGCAGGGATTCATCTTCTTGGTTCTTTCGGTAAAGTCACGTAGAAGGGAAGTAATAAAATAATAAAAATAAAACATAATAAAATAATTCTCACGACGTTTCGGCCACAACACAAGTAGCCGTCCTCAGGTGAAGACAGGTCTGTTGAGGCGACAGCGTCTAAAAGAAAACACCACCACGCTTGGAGCGTCTATTTAAGCTGGGTTGGAAGGGGGGGGGGGGGGGGAAATGCGCATTGACAAACTAATCTGCATATCAAGAGGAATTTAGCATATTTATGGAAAATGCAGGAATGCGATTAGTGCTATTTGTGAAATGCTAATCCTGCATAATGCCAATGTATTATGTAGGATTAGCAGCATCAAAGGGAGGGGGATAGGGGTAGCATTAATAAAGGGAAGGAATGTTAATAGTATGTAGCTGCAGTAACTAAACAACAACGTAAAACGCTAAAGTATAAACTACATAGTATTAAATTGTATACTGTATTACTATACACTACCCTATGTCTTAGAATAATACATAGTGTACATAGTGTAATATTACACTATGTATTATTCTACCCACCCAACTGTATACCACACTGCTGTATATTCACTATACAATTTCGATACTATATATTACCTCATACATTGTATTAAACATTACACTTTAATACTATTTATTATTTTCCGCTCCATCAAGGCCGCGAAGAAGACGACGCTGAAGGGGGTGTTTGAAGAAATGGCGGAGGCTTATGAGCCCCCGGACGATGCACATCGCAGGTTCGTGCAGCGGCAACGGGCACCTGAAGAATCGCCGGTGGCATTCCGGGGCGCTGTGATGGAGCTAGCTATGGCCGCATATCCGGAGACGGAGCCCGACTTGCTGGAGCCCCTGATATTGGGTAAAATGTTGGAGTTATCCAGGGATTTGGGCATCCCCATGCCGATGTGCGGCCACGATAAGTTGACGTCTCGGATGGCGGCTAAGTGCCTGGATGCCCAATTCAACCTTCGCCGGTGGAAACAGGTGGCGGCTTAGACGGGGAGCCCCACCGTCGAAGGCGGTGCAACAGGGTGGGACCCGTCGAAGGTCGTCTATGTTCTGGACGAGAGGGGTCCTGAGGAGCTGACGGCAGCATCGAACCAGTGGCCTGCTCGAGGGGGAGCGGGGTTGCGCTCGGGGCCGCCGGCGCGGGAGCGCCAAGACAGAGGGGGTGCTGCACGGCGAGCCGACTTGGCGTGTTTCCGCTGCGGCCGTAAAGGCCACTTCGCCAGAGAATGTTGGGCCCGCATTCGGCAGCCGCCCCAGCAGGAGGCCTTGGTCACAGACGCGACGCGGCAGGACCACCCACGACAGGCAAGTCGGTACGCATCAGACACCCGGCAAGGCCTGTCATCTCATGCATAACCATCACTACGCGGGCCGGGTGCCATT